TCAAAACTCATCCAACTGAACGCCTGAGACCTACATTCTGTTATATGCTAATTATATTTAAAAAATAAACATATATGTGTATATCTCAAAATACAATGCTCTTGCAATTATCTTATAGCATTTAAAATATATAATTGTAAATAGGATAATAGGTACTGCATCTGTATTCTAAATTAAATTTGACTTGTTATAATATTAAAAAAAAGAAGAAAAAGGTTTTGGATGACCTTTACATGCAGACAAACACTGACCAGTCTATACCTGCCAACTTAACACTGCTTTGTAACATCCCCCGGTAGTTTATAAAAATTTTGTTCTAGGCTTTCTCTCTCCATTTATTCTGTAATAAACTGAAGCCACAAGCTAAGCTGATCCCTCTAGAATCTGAAGTTTCCAGTTAGCCTGTTTATTCCTGTTTGTGCCTCTGGGGGCAGTAACTGAGTCTACACTCTCAAAGACAAGACTCCTTAGAGTCTAGATAGTTTTGTTCCAGAAGCAACTTTTCCAGCTGGGGAAAGCACCCTGGCTTCCATGAGGCTCTATATAAAAGAACTGAGATGTCAGCTTAAATGGTTAGTGTGGACTGGGCCCCAAGCCTCCCCGGGGTGAAGGGGCCACAACAGGCAATCAGAATGAAGTGATTTTCCAAAGCCAGCCCTTGGGGTGGTGCGGGGGGGAACCACTGGAGTGGTTTTCTTCCTCCTTCTGTATCAGCTCTGGCTCAGGCCCCGCTGAAGTGGGAGAGGAGACAGAAGTTAGAAAGTTCCATGAGGAGAAGGGGAGGCTTGCAGAAGGTGGGTGTACAGGACTGTTTTACTCACACCAAAGTGGTCTCAACTCCGTACTCTGCTCCTTTCCCAAAGCAACCACAAAACGGGGACTTGGGAGCTGTGTCCTTTCTGTCCCCATGTCCCAGGGTTTGGGGGGCCAGTTGAGCGGAGTGGCCAAGAGCCCAGATTTTGGACTCAGGCAATGCTGGTATGGAGCAGTGCTCTTATCAGGGATCCGTGATGCGACCTCAGCCAGTTCTGACTTAACTCCTGCTGGGTCTCAGTTTCTCAGTTTGTATGGTGGGGTGGCTCCACCTACCTCACAGGCTGGCACGGAGGACAGAACAGAACAACACATGGAAAGTACTCAGCATAGGAACTGTGGTCCGGTCAGCAGGAATTCAACAAATGTGAACTAGCCCTTCGAATCAGACGCATCAAAACAGGGCAGAACTTGCTCCCGTCTCTAACGCTCAGCCAGTGAAGGAGAATTCTCTAATTCTGCGCTTCTAATTCTCTCTTGGCTTTGGGTCCTACCAAAGAAAACAGAGGTTCTGGGTCTGCCCCTCTGGATTGCCTACTTGGGGGTAACTGGTGCTGGAAAAAAAGCTCTCTGCTGGGGATGTTCTTCTACGTTGTTCCAAGTCAATTTAGGTTCACACAGGCTAACAGTAACACAATCGGGGTTCTTAGCGTCCATTACCCCCCTTCTCACAAGAATGTTATCTCGGCAGGTGAAAAGAAAACTGGTTTTTTTTTAAGAGTTCACCAAAAAGCCCTCTCCCGAGGAGGGCTCAGACAGGAGAGAGGCAGGGCTAGGTGGAGGCTCCACTTCTGGGGATTATTCTGGTTCTGAAAAGCAGCGGAACATTCTTATTTATAATAGTGAGGGGAAAGGGGGCCATGGGGAGAGGGGAACCGAGCACATAGGAAGAAAGGGAGAAGGGAGAGCTTTAGCGTTACTCTGGCCAAACAGAGCTAGGAATCTCGCCAAAGGGAGAGTGCACGATTGGCGGCAGCTGAGAGAGCATGTATGGACTTTGAGGAAAGCTTCTGGGCCTCAGCACGGGGCCTCCTCCTTCGGGGCCAGGAGAGTTCTGGCAGCAGCCCCCCAGCCCAGCATGTTCCCACATAATTGAAGTCGAATGTGCTTGGGGGGAGGGTGGATAGAGGAGGCCTCCGAGTTCCTGGCTGCAGAACCTCAGCGTTCTGCAGTTGGCTCTGTTTGGGATCAAAGCCAGTTAGTGTTGATTTTCCGCAGCATGGAAACACATGCGACGAAGCTGTTTTCCTGAGGCATGCATTTTGAAAAGAGGATTTTAATTTTTTTCCCCAAGGACAGGTGGGGCTGGGAGGTGGGGGGGGTTGTGACGTGGCTCTTCTATTGCTGTCTCTTCTGCAAACGGTTTTGGGCTCATAGTTTCCGTGTGAGCACAAACGAATCAGTTAGGATGTGTGAATGGGCATGGCCACGATTTAAGGCGAAGTCTTTCACAAAAGATAATTCCTGGAAAATGCTGCGGGAGGACCCTCTGGCTGTGTGTGATAAGTCACAATTTGTTTGCTCTCCACTGGAGTGTTTCCAGGAGAGCAGCTCTCTTGTTCCTCCTAAAATTTTCCATGGACTCTCCTTCACTTCTCGGTCTTTCTCTGTGATCTTGTTCTTCTGCTCCCGAAATTAGTTTGTGTTCCTTCTTTTCAGTTAGCACCAGTCTTTTGGGGCTAACCATTATGTCAGTGATGCAAAGTGACACTGTCTAGTTTCTCAAGTGGTGGGGACACATCCTTTTAATGGCACTCAACTGTGCCCAGCCCTCTAGGGAGTCTGGACTCTTGGCCCATTGGGCCATACCCATGGGATTGAGAATCTACAATCACAAATCAATTCGGCTGGAGGGGTCTCAGGGCACCCTTCCCTTTTAAATAAGGAAATGGACATACAGGCAGATATGGTCTGGGACCTTTGGCTCCTTCCAGACAAAAGATGGCGAAAGACATCTCCACAGAGGCCAGGTCAGTACTGCTTCTCCTATTCGGCATTTATGATCAGTGCTATAGCTCAGCTTTTATCTTTTGAGAAGAATTTCACCATCAGTCGTATTATACTAGGATACCAAGCTCTCTGCATTTATTTCAAGGCTGGATCTGAAAGTTTTGGGTCAGGGGATTTAGAACACGGTCTGAAAAAAGGCAAAGCAGCTTTAGTTCACTTAGAGCACTTGGTAATTAGCCTTGGAGTAATAAATGTTATCTGCACCAGCACTGCTCCGTGCCAAGTACCAAAACCACATTTTCCAGATGATTCCAGTGAGAAATTTCTGACCCGAAGCAATTCAACATTGGGCCCCAAAGACCACAATCATCTTTTATAAAACAACAGATTGTTCATCTCTCCCCGGCCTTCTTTAGTGAGCAAGAATACAAAATCCAGATTAAGAACCAACTGCAGAGCCCCCTTCGCGCTCGCCTAAGCTTCCAGAATTACAGTAAGAGATTGCTTCATGTTCGTGAAAAGTATACTAGCTAAAATGATGCTGAGATAGTTTTGGCTTCTGGAAGTGCAGCTTTAAAAAAATGAATGTCTAACAGAACCTAATAGTGTTAAGTGCCTGAGCATTCCAGGGAGGGCACGAGTCCCAGGGAGGCAGGGTAAAAACGGTTACCAGGAAGTGGTAAATGGTTACCATTACCTTTAAACGATGAAAAGAAGGCATAAAGGAGTTGATTATGACATTAATCAGGATAAAGAGGCCACAAGCCCTCCCCATGCCCCCCACCAAAGAGGGTAAAAAATAAAAGTTTTATATATAAACTTCCTTGAGGTCTCCCAATGCACCAATGCAAAAATACTTGTTTGCTCCAGGCTGAGGGCAGTGTAGTGTTTGGAGGGGTGGGGGTGGGGAATGAATTTCGGGCTGCACAGGATGAGACGCTGGGCTTTGGCTCTGGGGCAAAATGGGGAGGGGAGGTTCCTGAAAGGAAAGGCTTTTCTTCCTATTACTACTTTACTCTTTCCCGTCATTTAAAAATTTTAACTTTAAAAGCTACATCTACTTTAAAAGCCTGGATGGTTCAGTAGGTGGTGTCCGGCTCTCAGTTTCAGCTCAGGTCATGATCTCAGGGTCCTGGGATCCAGCCCCAGTCAGGCTCCGTGCTCAGCAGGGAATCTGCTTGAGGGTTCTCTCCCTGCGCCCCATCCCCCCACATGCATGCTCTCTTGCACATAAATCTTAAAAAAAAAAAAAAGCTACATCTGTTGGTGTAGACACTATGCAGATATTCTAGGACTCCCACTTCAAGAACCTTCACAGACAAGAATGAAAAGGGCTGGCTTGAAGCAGAAGCCTGTCAGAGAACACTTGGTGGCTTCCTAAACTCACTTAAGGTGAGAGCCAGGTCTCTGAGCAGTGTAGACATCCCCCAGCACAATGAAGGAGCAGGAACTGGGTCGTGAGAGACTCCTGAAAAATTTCCCTTCCGCTGCCAAGAAAGAAATTAACGCAGCAGAATTCACTGCGGCAGTTAATTCAGCTTTTTCCTGGAGAAGACGAAATCACTTTCCTCAAATGTGAGAGCGACTTTCCTTTTTTACCATTGACTTCATCACGTGAGCCCGTCGGCCACCAGCCCAAGCAACGTGGCAGAGTGCACAGCAGCCAAATCTTAAGGATAGTATTTGTAATTTGTGTATCCCGACTGTACCAGGAGAGGGGTTTCCAAGTGATGACAGAAGGTTGTTCATTTGTGATTTGCCAAGCTCTCCACACTCTACTGGCTGGCTGTTTGGTTTCCTAGCCTCGCGCTGAGGACAACCTCCCCGAGCAAGCCTGGAGCTGGGAGTTGGTTCAGGGCTTTGTCTGACCCCGTGTGTCCTAACCAGTCCCATCTGGGATGGTTTCAAAAAGCAAAACGACCTCAGCTTGCAATAGGGCCTGGGAAAAAGTCTCCAGTGTGTAAATGGATTGCTTTCCATTTGCAAAAGAGTTGTGGGCTGTCTCAGACTATCCCGATCCTCCAAATTGAGGTAATTTTCCTTATTCTACTTTTTATTAGTTTGGGAAGTTGGAGCAAAGGGCTGGAGAGATGAATAATCTAGCTGCTCACTCTATTGTTGAGGCGATGATTTTTAATGCTTCTTTTAAATCCAGGTCATGACACTTTCTTAGGTTATTTAGATACGAGCTCCCGAGCAAATGTCAATCAGAGACACAAATTTCACACAGGGCAGAATCATTTCAAAGTTTGGTTGTTTTAATGCAATTTCATTGTTCAAGGTAGTACGGATATATTAAGTGGTTCATTTCCATCCTGAAGAAAACACGAACAGTTTCTACCTTATGTAATTTTGTCAAATTCAAACATGACTCTTTGACCTTCCTCAAAGACAGTTTCTTAATATATCTTGATAAGATTCTTTATTTCTGGAAAAAAATGTTTAAACCTTCAAGTAGTTTGGAAACATTTGCCTATTTGCTCATTCCTCTGGGCACAGCCTTTCAGAGCACTTAGCCCACCTGTACTGAAGCTCTGTTCTCCCAGCTGGTGGTAGGGCTGCTTGACGGAGGTGATCATGGGAAAATGAGGAGCGAGCAAGCTTTGTCAACTACTTCTAATTCTCTTAATTAGTATGCTACGATCCACCCCAGCTTCTGCAAGGTCAGACATGCAAGACAAGTACTTGGCCAAAAAAGCAGGATTCTAACTAGTGTAAAAATAGATTTTAAATAAAATAGAATCTCTATAGGAAAGAGAATTAGGTTATGCTTTACATTCCCACTCTTGCTTTAAGATATCTGTATATATAAGTCCAAGGGGGACTTGTAGAGTTGGTCTGCCCTAAGTAAAAATTGAGAATGTCTGAGTACATTCATTTTGCAAAGTTACAGATGAGGTTTTTTGGGAAATGCTACAGCACATCCCACAAAAATGGATAGTGATTAACAATACAGTTTGTGCACTAACAAGTAACATATAAGACATTTAGGCCAAAGGGGATGACATCTAACCATAGGCTAAAAAACAATTCTAAAATGTGATCATTTGAAAACTCTGGCTAATTCTAAAGCAGAAAACCAACCCCATCATTTAACGGCATGTCTTGTTAACCTATCCAGCTACCTCTTTAGGAAGCTTAAATTCCAACACGGGTCTTACTTTAAGTTTGCTCAATTACTTCGTAGTATGAATTACTTGACGTTAAGGTTTCTAGAGAAAGTACACAGCCCCTCTGTTGGCTCACAACAAGCATTGCATGACTCTTTTAAAGGGGCTCTGTTAAAATTCTAATTTTCGGATTTAGAAACAGCCTTTGGTTGTATCTTGAAAGCATCATTGAAAATCTGCCCAAGCTCCCTCTAGCCGCAACCTGAACATGCAGCCCGATCTTTTGTAAACATTCAGAAAACACTGATCCCAGCAAAATACACAATCAGCTAGTCAGAGGCCTCACTCTGCATTTTCACATGGATGATAAATCTGCCTGCTGATTCTTGCTAGATGCTAGGAAATCCACTCTGAGAGCTGGGTCTTAGAGTAACCCTTCAGCCTCCTCCTTACTTGAGGTTCATAATGTGGTGTGGAGTCATCGAAAACAAAGTAGAAGCGCCACCATTTTTCCTACACTGGGTCCGCTCAGCCTGGGCGGGTTGTTTGTTTTTCCGAGCTAGCCCTGGAGCAAGAGATGGCTGCTGGTGACAGGCTAGTGACTAAAGGTTTACTGGCCCAGCCTCTTTTCCTGTGACCTTCAACCAATTCTTCAATTCCCAGACTGCAGGGAGGGAGGACAATGACAGGAGACTAATGCTAGGGAATTTTCGTAAATCCTCAGTGGCCAGTGCAAACCTCTCTTTAAAGCAGCTGCTATGACCTCAGGTAACGTGACCTCTGAGGTTGCCAAAAAAAAAAAAAAAGTGACGTCTTGAACCGACCCCAGAACTGAATGTCAAATCCACCGACTCAATAAATACAATGGAAAACTGCAGAGCAGAGCTGGGGCTTCTGTCAAGTAGCAAGGCAAAATGGTCATCAGAATGTCTGAGGTTAGTGAACTCCTATGGTGGGAAACAGTGGCCACATCTTAAGCCCCGGCCCTCCAGCTCTCCTCGCCACGGCCACTGGCCCTCCAGTTACTACAGCGCACGCCAGCCAAGAAAAGATCCGAACAACGGCGGCTCCGTCCTCACTTGTACTTATTCAAGGTCCACCCTCACACGTAGCTGAAGCCCCAGCACACCCTCGCCGTGCCAGGGAGAACAGTCTCAGGGACACCTGTTTCCCAGAGGTCACTTGCCCCTCTTGCTGCGGCCTTTCCTTGAGGGCAGCTTCCCACTGCTGCCCGAAGAGGGGGGGCTGGAGGCCGAGGCCACGGCAATGTTGATCTGTCCCTCCTGGATTTCCTGCCGGGTCTCAGCAGGCAGGTGGTTGATCTTCTGCTGTGTCTCCAGGTAGAACATGACGTCACGCAGTTGCTCCTGGATCTCGGTGATCTGCAGATCCTTCTGGTCACAGGTCTCCTTCAACACCCTCTCCTCCTCCTTCAGTTTGTTCTGCAGGAGGACTTGGTTGGCTCGCAAACACTTGTTCATTTCCTGCTCCTCTTTGAGCTCTGTGGTGAGTTTGGCCACTTTCGTGTTTAGTTGGGTGCACCTTTTACAAAACAAAGGAAGAAAAAAGCATGATTTTCAATTGCTGACACAGTCCCCTTTCTGCTCTGGGACTGAACAGAGGCACTGTGATCTCAGAATCCATTTAGGGACTGGACTCCTCCCCCGTGCGGTGGAAGGAGACTGGTTTGCTGCCACTGCAACAGCTTTACAAAGCAAGGATTTTGCTCGAGTTAACAGCATGGCTTCAGGACAATTTTTCTAAGCATCAGGCATTTTTCAATTGCAGAAACGATTCTGCGATTCATGGTAAAACTACTGCTTCTCTGTTTTGCAGTCTGTGGTTAAATAGGTGGCTTAGAGATAACAGCTACGATAAAGAAGTTATGAGGAAAAGTGACATTCTCGGAGAGTCAAGCGCTCTGACCTCACTGCATTCGCTGGAGGAGAGTTTCCAAGGATAGGGAGTGCCCTATTCTTGATGCTCAATCTTACTGATAAGTAAAGAATTACAAATTAAAACACCATTTGGGATACCATTTTTATGTATCAGAATGCCAAAGAGCTCAGACGTGGGGAAAGAGGAACTTCCACACATTGGCACTGGAACAGGAACTGCTACAAACTCTTTGGAAGTCAATTTGGCAATACCTATAAAAATCAAAATTTTACAATGCCCTCTGCCACACCTATTCTAGGAATTTATCCTACAGAATATATCCCACAGAATATATTTCAGACTACACTGAAAGAAACATGGAGAAAAATGCTCATTGCAACAGAGTTTATAGTAGTCCAAGACTTGAGACAACTTAAACATCCATCAATAGGGAACTGGTTAAAATTATTATGGGACCTCCAGACAATGGAATACTGTGCAACCTTTATGAAGATAAATCTAGATGTACCAATATGAAAAAACAAAAAACAAAAAACCTCCAAAACAGAATATTTACCAAACAGAATACCTAATATTATTCTTTTTTTTTTTTTTAGAAAAAAGATTATGTATGTGAGATGTGAGCAAAAGATTTGGAAGAGTAAATATTCACTGGTACTATTAATTAATAATGGTAACCTCTAGATAGATAACATGTTCTACAGGGTGGAAAAAACCTTCCAGTTTTAATTCTTTCATATAGTTTGTTAGGGAGCTGAAAGTATAGGAGAATATTTTAATTTCTCTTAATGCCGTAGTGTTGTTTTTACAGAAGTTTAAAACAAACAAACAAAAACCCTTGGATGCCTGGCTGCCTCAAGAGCACGTAACTCTTGATCTCAGGGTTGTGAGTTTGAGCCCCCATGTTGGGTGCAGAGATTGCTTACAAACAAAATGTTTAAAAGAAAACAAACAAACAAAACAAAAAAACTTTGGTGAAGAGTGTTGTGGGTGAAGAAAAAATTTTGAAACAGATAGTGTGACAGGAGCAGGATGTTGTGAATGCCACTTAACGTCACTGACATATTTTATGTTATATAGATTTTGCCACAATACAAAAAAAAAACAACAAACTATTAAAATAACCCCCGCTTTCGAATAGGGGGAAAACAGGTGAAGGGTAAATGGGGACTCTGCACTATCTTGGTAGCCTCTGTAAATCTGAATTTCTACCAGAATAAAGGTTTATTAAAAAACAAAACAACTTTTAAAGCTATCCTTCTTAAATTTATTTTGTATCTGTTTGTCCAGAAGTAAAAAATCAGTTATTTTTGTGAGTATACTTAAACTAGAAAGTAATTTCAATCAGCAGCAACTATCTTCCCCTAACAGTAGAATACATTTTTGCCACACTGTTTTTGAGCTTTTCGCACCATATTAAACAAGTTTGGCCTTTAATTCCTGTCTAAGGCCAGAGTACACACTGTCTCCGCCTTAGACAGTCATTCTCCTGAGAGTTCTCAGCCACATGGTTTAGAGAAACTGCAGCTCTGAGCACAAGGCAGTTGCTTTCTAGAGGCAAAAATGAAAGATATTTGCACATACAATAAGCAAAGACATCGGGGGAGAGTGCTGCATTCCACATGGCATCCACCTGGCATGAAACGCTATGTATTTTTTTTTTTACTTTTTTATTGTTATGTTAATCACCATACATTACATCATTAGTTTTGATGTAGTGTTCCATGATTCATTGTTTGTGCATAACACCCAGTGCTCCATGCAGAATGTGCCCTCTTTAATACCCATCACCAGGCTAACCCATCCTCCCACCCCTCTCTCCTCTAGAACCCTCAGTTTGTTTTTCAGAGTCCATCGTCTCTCATGGTTCGTCTCCCCTTCCGATTCCCCCCCCCTTCATTCTTCCGAAACGCTATAGTTTTTAATAAACGGAAAGTCACAATAAGTTTGCTCTCTATATAGGCAGACCCCTGAAAACCCAGTGATAGACACATTTGGAAAGTGTTTCCACCAGAATGAAGATTACCTATTTATGAGCCTGTTACAATGAAAAAGCTAATTAAAAGAGACCAATTACACCTACTTTCTTTCCACAGACTGCTTTTCTTTTAGGAGATCATTTAGTCTGTGCTCCAGATTATCACATTTCTCAATTGTTTCTTTAAATTTGGTCTTCATGTTGTTAATCTGGAAGAGCAAACAGAGGTCAGTTTCACTTCACAGAGGCATAGTTGTGTGGTCTCTGGGGCTAACTTCACCACGCTTTCTTCAATCACCTGTCTATAACTTTGACAAACCAAACTAAGAAAAGGTGAGACGATCATTTGAAAGAATTTCTGTAATGGAAATAAACATTCTGAGAAATCCTTTTCCCCGCCTTACTGTTTTTGTCTATACCAGAGTGATCAGGAGCAGCTGAATGTCAAGCAGAAGACTCAAAAGTGAAGGAAGAGCTTCAGGCAGCAGAGCAGGAGATGGTCTGTCAGAGCCCAGACCAGAGCCTACTCTTCTTAATTCATCATTTTATTTCCTCCTGAGATCACATTCCAAAAATCACTATCGAAATAATCTAACAAACTAATTTAATCCAAGAAAATGGTGATAACCAATTTTAACTGTTCGGGCCCCTCTCCCAAGCTCTTTATTAATTTTCTCATGTACCACAAAGCCACATGGAACATAAGCAGTTCTTGTTTTGAGTTAATTTGTAAGTGCAATATAGAGAGAACAAATTCATGTCACATTGTCTTAGCAATTGAAGAGAATTTTTGTATATGTGCTGCCGAAGCGAGCACGCAATTGAAGAGAATTTTAAAATTCTAGTGTATTCTGTGTCGGAAACCAAGAGACTTTTGAAGTCTAGCTAAGTAGATGCTGGATTCACCCAGGTGTGACGATCTACACAACTGAGAAATGCCTCAGCCCTACTGAGGTAAGGACACAGGGCGAAGATTAGATGAGAAGGAGAAGTAGTGAGGCTGGGTGGATCATGAGGCAGTAATAACAGCAACTGACAGGGACTGAGAATTTAAATTCTACGGCCCACATACCAGGTGGTGTTTTGTAAGCAGTATCTCCTTTATACCTTGTAAGAAGCTGGAGACTTCAATGTGGCAACCTTTTACAGAAACAGGCTTACAGAAAGGTGAGGCAATCTGCCCAAGGTCACCCAACTAGAGCATGGTGGGTCCAGGACTGGACACCAAATCTGGATGCGGAGCCAAGTTCTAAACCTCCCTGTACTACACTGCAGGTCACAGCTGTACGGCAAAGGAAAAATGACCCTTGGCAGATATAAACCCTTAGCATTGTCCATCATGTTAGAAAAAGGGCCACTGCTTTTCATACTTCCTTTTAAAAACTTGCCACATGGCCTACCTAACAGATTTCTAACAGCACTGTTTTGTTTTTTTTAATAAGAAGAAAATAACTATAGAAATTAACTTTATACCCAACTTCTGTTAAGTTGGAAGAACACGCAATTAGAGGAAGATTCCTCTATGTCATGAAAATAAAAATAGCTTAAGGGCGCCTGGGTGGCTCAGTCGGTTAAGCGACTGCCTTCAGCTCAGGTCATGATCCCAGGGTCCTGGGATCGAATCCCGCATCGGGCTCCCTGCTCTGCGGGGAGTCTGCTTCTCCCTCTCCCACTCCCCCTGCTTGTGTTCCCTCTCTCGCTGTGTCTCTCTCTGTCAAATAAATAAATAAAATCTTTAAAAAAAAAACAGCTTAAAAATTGCTCGAATTTGGGGTGCCTAAGTGGCTCAGTCAGTTGGGTGTCTGCCTTCAGTTCAAGTCATGATTCCAGGGTCCTGGGATCCAGCCCTGTATTGGGCTCCCTGCTCAGTGAGAAGCCTGCTTCTCCCTCTCTCTGCCCCTCCCCCTGTCTGTGCTTGCTCTCTCTCTCTGTCAAATAAAGAAATTCTTTAAAAAAAATTTTTTAAGGGGCGCCTGGGTGGCTCAGTTGGTTAAGCGACTGCCTTCGGCTCAGGTCATGATCCTGGAGTCCCGGGATTGAGTCCCGCATCGGGCTCCCTGCTAGGCAGGGAGTCTGCTTCTCCCTCTGACCCTCCCCCCTCTCCTGCTCTTTCTCTAAAAAAAAAAAAAAAAAGAAAAAAAAATTTTTTAAAAATTGCTCTAATTCTTTCTAGGTTGGTATTAATTTCCTCCCCAATATTGTTGTTTTTTGTTTTTTGTTTAAAGATTTTATTGATTTATTTGACAGAGACGGCGAGAGCAGGAACACAAGCAGAGGGAGTGGGAGAGGGAGAAGCAGGCTTCCCGCTGAGCAGGGAGCCCTGCTTCTCCGAACTCTCCCACTCCCCCTGCTTGTGTTCCCTCTCTGTGTCTCTCTCTGTCAAATATATAAAATCTTTAAAAAAAAAAATAAATAAATAAAATAAAATAAAAGACCATTAGTTCCTTTGTACGTTTTCTCCTAAACTGACTCCTGTTAGTTTAGAGAAATTGGAAAGGACGAAAACAAGTATCAAAAGGAACCAAACTGTATATGTTTTGCTCATTGAAGATACTTAGGCCAAATGCACTTAAATCAAGATGAAAACCAAGTAACCCCAAAAAGCTCTTTACAATTGCTATACACAAATGTTACAATGGTTTAAATCAGTGCTTTTTAAAACCTTTCTATGAGCCCACAATAAGAAACATTCAATATAAGTATACACACACAATTGACGCCAAGAGCTTCACAACATTATTAAATATGGCAATGCGCTGATATTTTATACCCATCCTATCCTGTTTCATAAAAATGCCAGCTGCACTCTACCAAACTCATTTCACGATCCACAGCTGGAAAAATACTGATTTACATGGAGCTCCAGGTCCAATGAGAAAAGATGGCTCTTTAGGGGAATTCACTTGTCCTGACTGCCTGCTCTATGTTCTTCCTACAAAGTCCCACTAAAACAAGAACCTTCGAGTGGGCATGAGCTTCCAGAACAGACTCTCACACGCTATAGTAATCGCACTACCTAAGGCATGGTGGGGAGTAGGGGCAGGAACCGTATTGTAACAAGTCCACAATGAGGCCCACGAACAAGAATTTCTGTTAGTGAAACCCATGGTCTATTACTGTTTCTCCCTGCACATGGTCTCCTGCTGGAGGTGCCAATGGACAGAGGACTGATCAAAAGGAGGACAGTGGCAGGAACAAAAAGCCTGCATCATCCATTAACTTATGGATAAGCAATATTTGATATTAGAAAACAAAACCTTTTCAAGCCCTTCCAGCTTTTATGTAGGGCTGCCCTTGCCTCCATCTTACCCCTATGTAAAAGGAAACACAAGTTTCAGTGTTTGGCTTTCCTGCCCCTTGACTTATTTTTCATGGGTATTTGTTAGGGAATGCAGATAATCCTAAAGAATCTGAAAAGGCGGAGAGGACCCTAAGCTTAGCTCTCAAGGGTCTGCGTGAAGCACTTTAGGTATAACCCCTGTGCAAAAACCCATTACTGAGGCTGTGCAGAGTTGCCAATGTTCCTCCCTGAGACTTCATAACTTGACAGGAAGTGGCAGCGACTCGTGCTCTGCCTCCTGAGTGCTGTGGGAGGCACGTCCTTCCCATACGTACTCCAATTAAGCCCTATGCAGAACTAGTCCATCAAGCGACCCTGAGTGCCTCTGGAAAGGCACTTTCATCACTTGGAACATTCTTCTATCAACTACATCAAGAACTTTTAACTAAAGATCATGTTAAAGCTGGTGTTAAGCCTTATTTTTAAAGGCCTGATTTCTCCTCATTTGTAGGCATATCCAGAAACTGGGGCCAAAGGGCCTGGCCAATGTGTAAGCCTGACCCTGCTTAATTCCAGGGTAATCCTAGCTACCGCACCGATGAGACCCAAGCCTGGCTCTGCAGTCCTTATCTGAAGGTCTAGTTATTGCCGGGGACTCACAAAGTTACTAAAATAATCATTAAAAAAAAAATTAAAAGCCTGTATTTAATACTAAGAGGATCAGTGAATTACGAACACTGTCCCTAGAACCTGAGAAAGGTTCTTGGAGCTCCCATTATACACGAACCCTCGGGAGCTCACTAGTTTCCAGACTCCCTACTTTGGAACTGGCAGGGTTCCTTGCACGTGCAGGAGACAATGGGAAAAGCAAGCAAATGAAGCTCTGTGCCCTCCATCTGGGTTTCCACCAAAATCACAGTGCTTTTCTCTTTCACCTGTTGGAGTAGTGAGTTGGCATCTTCTTTAAAGGATTTTGTTAAAATCCAAAAACCTCGGGGCGCCTGGGTGGCTCAGTCGTTAAGCATCTGCCTTTGGCTCAGGTCATGATCCTAGGGTCCTGGGATCGAGCCCCGCCCGCATCACGCTCCCTGCTCGGCAGGAAGCCTGCGTCTCCCTCTCCCCTGCTTGTGTTCCCTCTCTTGCTGTGTCTCTCTGTCAGATAAATAAATAAAATCTTTAAAAAAAAAAAAAAATCCAAAAACCTCTGCCCTGGATAAACAAGGAACCACGGGAATCACTGAAGCTCTAGCACCTCTGCCTTCGTTTCTTCTCTGCAATTTCGAAGAGCTCGGCACCATCTTGCTGCCGCAGAAGCCCACACGTAGCTCCTCAAAGCAGCTGTTCCCAAGCTGACAAACCAACTGGCTGACTCAAATTACAGGCCCTCGTGTGCATACTTCTATTTTTTTTAATGGAATTGCACAAGGCACTAGAAAACCTGATCGAAGTTAACAAACAAATCTCTCCCCAATCGAAAATACCAAAATACTCATGTCTTTAAATCCAAGTTTTCTTTTTTTAGGGTATATAGCAGACATTTCATTTCTTCCTCATATATTTAGTGTAATATCGAGCTCAGCATACAATTTTAATCCGCTCGTCTTGATTTACTGACCCTAGGTGAGAATATAGGTTGGCTTCCCTCCCCTTCTTAAATAATGCTCAGTTGGCTGCATTTGCAACAGCATGTTTTCGTCTCTTCCTTCTCCTCTTTTTGACTAATTTCATTCTTATTGTGGTCTAGAATTTCTTGTTGCCTGATACTGCCTTCAGGGGCTAAGTCTGTAATATAATGATGATTCATGTTTTTAACCACTTCTCTCTGGAATTCTGATCTAAAGTTAGATTACTGGGATGAGCCAACTGATTCCAAATTCTTGTTTTCTTTCTTCTCTCTGTGCACTGCATCTCCCCCCCCCCCAACCCCGCCCCGGCTTTACTGAGATATAACTGACATATAACAAAGATTTCTTTTTAGAGGCAAAAACAATTCTCTATCTCTGTATCAGACTAAAGAAGATTTCGCATTCCTCTTTTCTTGTATCCTGCCTTCTCCCACCCCAACATCAGATAGCCCTGCCATGTGGCACGTCAGCAGCACCAAACCAAAAACTTACTTCCTCTGCTGTGTCCTTCTCTATCCGAACTATCTTGTTTTCCCAGTAGATTCGCTGAGATTCCAGCTGGCTTGTTAGTAAATACGAATACTAGAAACAGAGAACAGACACCAAAACATAAACCACTGTAGTTTCTTAAATTCAATTAAAACCCGACTTTTAATCACCTACAGAAGAGTAGGTGTAACCATCAGAATGTGTATTATCTCTTGGTTACACTCTTTCAACAAACCAGGGGAATACAGAGATGTCAATTACACTCCTGTCCTGGGGCTTACCATCTAGTCTGGACAAGCAAGCAGAGAAATGTACATTAACAAAGAAGCTTCTGGGGGCGCCTGGGTGGCTCAGTCGTTAAGCGTCTGCCTTCGGCTCAGGTCATGATCCCGGGGTCTTGGAATTGAGCCCCGCGTTGGGCTCCCTGCTCGGCGGGAAGCCTGCTTCTCCCTCTCCTACTCCCCCTGCTTGTGTTCCCTCTCTTCCTGTGTCTCTCTCTGTCAAATAAATAAAATCTTTAAAAAACAAACAAACAAAAAAACAAATAAGTTTCTGTTCAAGCTACCTTTAAGAACCACAGGTTTTTAAATCAAAGTATAATTCAAATCAGCTCACCCCCCTTCAGGAAGCTGTCCCTGTCCTTCCCAGCCTTGGATTAAGCGGTCCTCTCAGCTCATTAACAGCACTTAATCACCAGGTTTCTTCTTTCACCAGGTCTGACTAGACCACCAGCTCGTTGAAAGTGAGGGTTCTACCTTTATTTCCGTGGCCCCAGTGCCTGGCACATGCTGGACGTCAAGAAATGTTTGCTACCTGACTGCATGAATGAAGGAACAGTGCCTTGTAACTACAGAGAAAGGACAGATGGCTTACAGCAGTAGGGTCTGGCAAGACTTCTGAGAGAAGGAGAGATTTGGGAGTGCTTTCAACAGATAGAAGGGGACAGGTAAAGACAGATCTGATTCCAGAGAACTACTGGACCCAGATGTGGACTGTGGATATTCAGGATCTCTTCAAGATGAAGGAGTCACATCAATGAGGCAAGGGTGCATGGTATGGACAGATGGAGTCTTTTTTTTTTTAAAGATTTTATTTACTCATTTGACAGAAAGAGACAGCAAGAGAGGAACACAAGCAGGGGGAGTGGGAGAGGGAGAAGCAGGCTTCCCGCCGAGCAGGGAGCCTGATGCAGGGCTCCATCCCAGGACCCTGGGATCATGACCTGAGCCGAAGGCAGACGCCCAACGACTGAGCCACCCAGGAGCCCCGGACAGATGGAGTCTTATGGAAGGCTCTGGGGTATTATATTGAGAAATGTGGGCCGTGGAGTGGCAACATCACATCTGCATTTCAGAAAGACCATTCTAAGAGACTGAAAGAGACCTGAATGTGTTTGTAAACTAGAAAAGAGAATGAAGGTGCAAGAGAGAGAAAGGCCAGATGGGGGAAAGTGTGTGGGCCACTGGAATGGGCACAGGGACTGATCAGTGCTGCACTCCCAGCACCTCCAGGAAGACTGGCCGACAGACAGCAGCCCTTGATAAACATTTGTTGAATGAATATATTTAGAGTTAATATGGAAGGGTTGCTTATTCTAGAAACAATGGAGAAGGTTTAAACTTTTTTTCATATTAATACAATTAATAGTAAGAACATCAGCTTTATTTTAGGTCCTTCTACTGAGTCTATTAGACCACAGAAGTCTGGAGATGAGCAAGTTTTCAAATATCCTTCCAAGGTTAAGTTGTTTTTTTTTTTTTTTAAGATTTTACTTATTTATTTGAGAGAGACAGAGAGGGAGAGAGAGAGCACCAGCAGGGGGAGGAGCAGAGGGAAAGGGGGGGCAAGCAGACTCCATGCTGAGCGCAGAGCCCGACCTGGGGCTCAATCTCACTCAACCGACTGCTTTCGGCTCAGGTCATGATCCCAGGGTCCTGGGACTGAGCCCTGCATTGGGCCCCTTGCTCAGCAGGGAGTCTGTTTCTCCCTCTCCCTCTGTCGCTCCCCCTGCTTGTGCTTGCTTGTTCTCTCTGTCAAATAAATTTTTAAAAATCTTAAAAAAAAATAAATGAAAAACAAAAACAAGACTTGTGTTAAACTTCTCTTTCATTAATGTAAAATTTACAGTACAATAATTTTATAGTAGATGGGATTTATTGCTACAGTGAAAAATCAGATTGTGCTACTTTTGTTGTTTCTTCAACTATAAGCATACCCCCAAATGGCTTTATGTATATAAGCAACAAATTCATAAAATACATACTTTGAGTATGTGAATATCTAATTCATAAAATGTCTTAAGATACAAGAAAGCTTCCCGGACATGGAAGGATGCTACTGGGGTTTCCTCATTCTGAACTGCTCAGTTTCCAAACGCTACTGGAATGCCATCAGGCAGATTCTTAACTTCCAGTTTTACTGCAGCCAGAGGACCACCTTAGTATTGAGCTTGAGAAAATGAGGAACATCACACATTCAAAATAATGAGGCACGGTGAGCCTTAGACTTTCAAAGAAGATAATCAGACAGAATAAAAAATATATATATATATATTTAAGATTTTTATTTATTTATTTGATAGAGAGAGACAGTGAGAGAGGGAACACAAGCAGGGGGAGTGGGAGAGGGAGAAGCAGACTTCCCGCTGAACAGGGAGCCCGATGCGGGGCTCGATCCCAGGACCCTGGGATCATGACCTGAGCCGAAGACAGATGCTTAACGACTGAGCCACCCAGGCGCCCCCAGAATAAAAATATTTTAATAATTCTTTGCAGCAATGATAGAACTTTACATAGTTGACATACAGAGTAAATGGCAAAATTAAAAGCCCAAGCCACTTTTTAAATTAGGACAATAAAAAGCAGTAAAAGAAAAGTACTTAGTAATTACTAATAAAGTATCTTACCTCTAACTGTAAGGCATCTATTTTCTCTTCCTGGCAAGTATCACCCTCACATTCATATTGTACTATTTTTCCATCTGTTTTACTTGCAACCAGTCGATGAACATAGTTATCTGAAGAAAAGAATGAACGCATCAAACAAGGCTTGTTTCTTCACAATGGAAAGGGTCTGCATACACTTTTAACTTTGACAAAATTTTTGTTTTTACGTGTTCTAAATTAAATGCTTTGCAATACTTCTGTACAAGTGGGCTAAATCATTTGAATTTAAGCAAGAGTGAGAGGGCAAGTATGGAAGTGTTAACTCTCTTTATAATGTGCAATTCAGGCCATTTGTAGAAAATAGTGCCCTACGGGGCACCATGAGAATTTGAGTTGGCCACAGCTGTCAGGAAGATTTCAAGCTGGGAGAGAAAGTGGAGAGGTTCCGAGGGAGAGAGGTTCATGCAGAATGAATCCAAATTAGAACATGAGAACAGTGTTCACCTCCGGCATAGTCCCAGACTCGATGGTTGGTGAGCTGCATGGCGTACGTGTGCTGCGTTTCCTCGAAGTGCTTATAAGCATGTCGACTTACATACCGTCCACATCCTATGTGGCCGCATATTAAACAAATCCACAGGTTCTGCCACAGAGAAGGTAAGATCTTCATTAGTTATACAAAAACATATGATCTGGCTCACTCAGAGTGGGAAGGTGCCTGACACAGAATGAAACGGAGTTGTTTCTACAGGAGTTTTGAAAAAACATGTTTAAAACCCCAAAAGCAAGGATGCTTTTACGAGTCAATCATTTTCTCGTTCTGGGTTTTAAAAAACTCTAGGTAAACAGTAAGACAAATATTCACAATTTATCAGCAAAAGTCTAGTCCTTTTAAAAAAAAACAAAGAACGGAAAGCAGAGAGTATTTTGCTGAGGAATGTAAAATAATTTATACTTCTTGCCCAACCCTAGACAAAAAGAAAAAAAAAAAATCAGCCTGAAAAGAATCGAAAAGAATTTAAGCCACACGGGGCAGAAGCAAGCCCCAGACCGCGAAAGCTGAGCTCACTCCTCTTTCCCAGCGGCCGCCGGCACTTACTTCCTGCACACCGCACTCGAAGCACTTGTTCTCTTCCACGGGCTCTGGCGTTTGGCAGTACCGGCACACGGGACACCTGTCCGGGACCCCAAGTGAGAATGGAACAGATGAAATACGAGAGATAGCTGTTACAGAACCAAGAGTCAAAACTGCATTTTAAATCTTCAGTCTCTTAACACGCTATGTGTTTATCATAACTAATGATACCATGCGAAGAACACTGGCAAGTTACTCTCAAATGAAATGAAAAAAATACAAAATCTTGATAAAGGAAGAAGAAAAGGAAGGAGTCTTGATCCGCTTCATGCCTTCCTCCATTCTTCTGTCTAAAGCTTAATCAAAGAACTAAATATGTACAAGTTAGAATTAGGGACTTGAGATAAGTTATTAATTCTTTTTTTTTTTTTTTTAAGATTTTATTTATTTATTTGGCAGAGAGACATAGTGAGAGCAGGAACACAAGCAGGGGGAGTGGGAGAGGGAGAAGCAGGCTTCCCGCAGAGCAGAGAGCCCGATGTGGGGCTCGATCCCAGTACCCTGGGATCATGACCTGAGCCGAAGGCAGACGCTTAACGACTGAGCCACCCAGGCGCCCCAATAAGTTATTAATTTTATGTCCAGTTATCCATAAGGTATTTTTACTTCAAAAAATCTACCTTATTTCCCAAAGATCTAAATCACTCAAGATGTACTCTGTCTTCTCTGTGTTGCTCCCAAGAGTTAAAACTAAAATCTGTAATGAATTTCACCAAAAAGAAGTTAATATTGGAACAGACAGGGCCTGTTACCATACAATGAACATGTGGAAGAGGATACCAGTGCCAAGTACTCAAGTGTCATTTTACAAAAAGTCAATTAAAATGGCACTGAAGGCAAACTCACAGAAACAGAGCAGAAAGGCAGATGGGATACCAGGGTCTGGGGGAGGCAGCAATCCGGAGATGTTGGTCAAAGGTTACAAGGTTTCAATTATGCAAGATGAATCAATTCTGGAGAACTGGTGTTCATCAGTGTGACTATAGCTGACAATATTATATTGTTTTTGAAATTTGCTTAGAAGAGAGACTTTGGGTGTTCTTACCACACACACACACACACACACACACACAAGGAAAATGGTAAAGGTGTGAGGTAAGATATGTTTATTGACTTGGTTGTGAACATTTCATAATGTGCATGTATAATGAGTCATCAGGTTGTACATTTTAAATATATACAGTTTTTTTAAGATTTTATTTTTAAGTAATCTCTACCCCCAATGTGGGTCTCAAACTCATGACCCCGAGATCAAGAGTCGCACACTCTACAGAATGAGCCAGCCAGGCGCCCCTAAATATATACAATTTTTTGGTGATCAATTACACTTCAATAAACCTGGGGGGAAAAGGCCATTAAAAAATCCATTAATGCCTTTCTGTTTTACTCAAGACAAAATAACACTAAGTACCAGTCATGAATATTTCTGTCAGGTGGGCAAAAATGGTAGAAAGTAGGTTATAACTGAAGCTAATTATGAACTGGCACCAAGAAGAAAGAATGCTTAAGACATAACTAATATCCATTTGTTACCCAACTGAGTAAATAAAACCAAGAAAAGAAAATTAGCAGGAAGAACATGAATTTCTTATCACAGATAATATCAAAGAGAAGCCAGACATGCACTCCAATGTCGACAGCAGCATTATCAACAACAGCCAAATTACGGAAGCAGTGTCCATTAAGAGATGAATGGATAAAGAAGATGGGGCATATATATATATACACAACGGAATATTTCTCAGCCATCGAAAAGAATGAAATCTTGCCATTTGCAACAATGTGGATGAAGCTAGTGAGTATAATGCTAAGCAAAATAAGTCAGTTAGAGAAAGACAAATACCATATGACTTCACTCCTATGTGAAATTTAACAAGCAAAGGGAAAAGACAGAGAGCGAGAGACGAACCAAGAAACAGACTCCTAACCACAGAGAACACACTGATGCTAACAGAGGGGAGGGGTGTGGGGGGATGGGTGAACGAGGTGGCGGGATGAAGGAGGACACTTGCTGTGATGAGCACAGGGTGATGTATGGAAGTGCTGAATCCCTATATTGCACACCTGAAACTAATGTACCACTGTATGTTAACTAACTGGAATTTAAATAAAAACTTAAAAAAAAAAGAAGCTGGAAGACAAACGAAGAAACCAGGAATGGCAGCTGTAGTGAGCAGCAAGCCGTCTTGTCGAAGGTACAAACTAGCTCTGTGTCATCCCTTTGGTCTGTGTGGCAGCTGTGGTAGTGGTTGGATAAAAATACATGAATTCTGAAATCTTATTTCCTACATTATGCCAAAAGGATCTTTCTGAAATGTAAGTATGATCCTGAGAATAAAAAAAGGAAAAAATTACAAAAATCACCTTATTTATACTATACACATCGTATTCTTTTTTTTTTTAAGATTTTATTTATTTATTTGACAGAGAGAGAGACACAGCGAGAGAGCGAGCACAAGCAGGGGGAGCGGGAGAGGGAGAAGCAGGCTTCCCGCGGAGCAGGGAGCCCGATGCGGGGCTCGATCCCAGGACCCTGGGATCATGACCTGAGCCCAAGGCAGACGCTTAACGACTGAGCCACCCAGGCACCCCTACACATAGTATTCTATGACATACCATCTCACTGATTAAAAGATAATTTACAGTTTATTAAATGCTTCCCTCTCCTTAAAAATAAAGTTTGAGTTGTCATCTTATTTTCTTGAGGAGGTATTTGGGGAAAACTTCCCCAAATGTCCTTCTCTGACATCTCCATGTGTCAAAAAACTACCCTTCAGGACTGCATACCAATGCTGCCTCCCGCCATGCAGCCCTTCTTGACTACCCCCACTGGGGAAGCCATCTCTATTTCCCTCCGGTTTCTACCTTGAATTGTATGCACTTATGTAAGCTCCCTTAGCTGACTGAACTTCCCTGAGGAGGATCTATGTTTGATGCTCTCCCATCAGCACCAGCACTCTACGGTGCGTGTCTTGAGGCTCAAAACATATTTGCTGAAGAAACTATGTGTTTTTGAGGCTAGCCACCACCAGGTTTGTCCATTTAGAGGGTTGAATTCTAGTCCCAGTGCTGGCCTTCTCTGCAGGACAGCTATTTTTTCATTTCTGGGTCTCAGTTACCTCCTCTGTAAAATGAGGAAGCTGGACAATATGGTCCCCTAAACTTCTAACTTTAAAATGCTATGTTTCCGGGGCAGTTAATTTGCCCTGAGAGTAAAACTGGAGTGGTAGGGAACAAAGAAGGGTCCAAAACTTAAGTGGTGTAGCAGGTGGACACAAGATACAGATAAACACTTTACGGAATGCATATACCTTAGTGTGTCTTTCTTCAAGGCAAATTTAAACCTGGACAATTCTTTGAAGAGCCCCCCACATGATACCCCAGAATTGACTGAGGACCCTCTAGAATTGGGGCAAGATTCTTGTCAAGCTAAATAGGCTAGAAAAACCCAGGGTTTACTGATCTGCTCAAGAGTATTTTCTGAGCTCCTACTATGTGCCAGGTCTCCTGCCAAGGGTGAGGGCACAGCAGTGAGCAAGCCAGACAAGGTCCCTGCTCTGTGAAAGCTGGCATTCTTCTGGTCATTTGGGGGTAGACAACAGATTCCTGTGGATGTTCACCTTCCTCATTTCTGGGCTTTGGCATGTGATCTTTCCCTTCCCATGAACACCCCTGCCCTCACACTGCCTTCTCTCAGGTCCCCCTTTCCCTGGCTAATGCCTCCTCATCCTCCTGGAGACTGCACTTCTCAGGCGGCCCTGGCTATCTCAGGGCCCTTGTTCACCAGTCGTAATGCTGCACACTGCCACTCTGTAACCCGTTACAGCCACGACTGCGTATTTATTTGTGTGATTATTTGATTCTGTGTCTTCCTCTCTGTAGTGGGAGACCCAAGTCAGCGTCTTGATTTACTTTTCTAGCTAAGTCCTACAGCACAGTTTACAAAGGGAGGAACAACCCTTGATTTAAAAAAACAAAAACCAAGGTACAGCTTACACCTCGGTCCTTGCCTGTGCAATGCCGCTGTACACATAAGGCCTCCACTGCAGTGGGAAACAGGACAGTGTAGGCATACGGGTGCTTCATGCCTACTGGCTGCTATTACTACCGGCCACTGAGTCATCAACAACATGCTAAGTCTGAAATGTTAGACTACCATAGCCCACATGGTAAGAAAGCCAAAGTAAATGGTAAGCATCAAGGGCAGGTGATAAATGAGATTTTAGACCTAAATTTCCTTGGGTAGAAGAGCCTCAAAGCTCAGCTTTACCTTTTTTTTTACCCCCCCCCCCCCATTCTCTGGTTCTTGGAAGCAACAATTCATGCTGCTTTTGGAAATCCCACATAGATTCTGAATCAGCATACTAAGAAGGACATGGTCTAAGAATGCTAACTGATTCCCACATGAACTAGTGAAGAAAAATGGAAGACCCTTCCATGTGACCTCTTCACTGTCATGGTGCCCAGGTGCATAAATTCAAGCACTTGGAATGCTTCATTTTTGGTGGTGGCTATTTTTAATTCTGGGAAAGGGTAACAATGGGCTTTGACAGGGTGGGGGTAAGATTAGCTCCTACACTCACGTGGTGTCGTCCCAGCGCTGCAGGCACTGGCTGTGGAAGCTGTGGTTACATAACGTGGTGAGGATGCCATTCACGGACTCGTCCATGCGCTCCAGACACACTGTGCACTTGGGGAGCTCGGTCAGGTCCATCACGGGGAGGCTGGCACCCTACAGGGAAACACTTCACATAAGCTTCACTCTTCACCCACGGTTCTAATATATGTTTTTAACACTAGCTTTCCTGCTGCATTTTGACTCTTGGCAGGATGCTCTCAACATTTTTGATCTGTGCAAATAATTTAAATTGGTAAGATGTTCATCCATACAACAAATATTGACTGAGCACCTTCTATATTCCCAGCGCTGTGCAAGGCACTGGGGATAGGCTGGCGAAGAAGCCAACAAAGATACTTGCCCTCACGGAGCTGATACTCTGGAAGGGGAGACTGCTACCAAAAGCTTAACAGAGAATAAAAAAAAAAACCCCAGAGAATCAAAGCGTTACCAGACTCCTGGCTCTACTTTTAAGGCTCTGTAACTATAACAGAACACAAATGAATAAAAGCAGAACAGGAATGGAACAGAATGATTTTTCCACAGAGTAAGTTAAAACTTAATGCTTCCTACTAAGTGATAATAGTATCAACAACACTGATTTATTCATTCATTTAACACACACTTATTGAGTCCTTACTATGTGTGCCAGACACCGTTCTAGGTGTAGCACAATGGTGAACAAAGCAGATGCGCTAAGTCCGAAACAACTGAGGGCCTTGTCCTCACAGAGCTTATAATCTGCTAGAGAGAGGCAAAAGTCAAATTTTTTAAATTACCAGTGGTCATAAGTGCTATGAAAGAAAAGTATAGGAAGCTATAACAGGGCAGTCAAGAAAGGAACCCCCTGCACCACCCCCGGGACAGTGACGTCTGACTTGAGCCCTGCCAGCTGTAAAATGAGCAGGAATTACTGACGCGAAGGTGGGGAGGTATGCACACAAGGACATGCTGAGAAAAATGACATTTATCTATGGTCCCTGAAGAGTAGCTTTTCACAGGCACTCTTTCAAGAAGCCATGTTCATTTAGAGAAAAGAATCTCTAAAACTGGCACAAAGGAAGCCTGATTTTATCATTTGTCAATTTTTATTTTACCTAATCTAATGATAGAACAATCAAATGAGAACTTATTTCCATCAAGCTGATTTCAAAGCAAAAAGACCTTTAGGTCTACTTTAAAATAAAGAAAATCTTAAAAATATAACAGAGCTGAATCTCCTACTTTATAAAATGATTTAAGTGAACACATTTTGTAGGAAAAGGTCCCACAGAAGGTGGCAAATCAGAGCAATTACAGATTGTTATCCAAACAGAATTAAAAATTAGGACAGGGATTAAGGGTTGATATTTAAAGTAAAAATGCTTCTTTTAGGTTCCAGGCCATGTTTCATGGATCTGGAATAGATGAACACTCAATTTCGATAACACAGATAATTTTTTTTTAATATTTTGGGACACTTTTCAAAAATTGAGATAAAATTCATTTAATATAAAATCTGCCACGTTTAACTATACAATTCAGTGGGTTTTAATATATTCACAAGGTTGTACAACCCTCACCACTAATTCTAGAACACCCCTATCACCCCAAAAAGAAATCTCGTCCTCACTGCAGTCACTCCTCATTCCTCTCGTCCCCCAGCCCCTGGCAACCACTAATCTCCCTTCTGTCTCGATGGATTGGCATACTCTGGACATTTCGACAGATAAATCTTAACATTCAACCTTATGACATTCACAAGAATGATGCACACTTACATCTTCAGATTTCAGTACTTCAGCCCTTTCCACATACACCAGCTGGCAAACATCATCTTCTATGGAGTTGAACTGGCGGCCATTGCACGCTATATAAAAACTATCTGCATCGGCCTAGGTATACCAATGGATAAAAGGAAAAAATTGAGAGAAATATCCTGAAAATATGCTTTTTATTCAAGATGCATAGCTTCAATTATTCTCTTCATCAGCATTTAAAATTTATAATTAGAGGAGAGAAAGCAACTGCCACAAGTACCATCTAGGGAAGCAGGTTCATTAGGTGAGTCAAACTCTGCAAGTCAATATCCTGCATCTCTACAATGTTGCCTGATCCATGACAGTCTCACTTAAACCAGCAGAAGCTGCCCAACTGCAATAAGCTGACAGCCAATATAACTTTAGTATTCAACCAGCAATGGTCATCAGTTCCCTTGATATCAATATTTTTTTCCTCGAATCAGCACTTTCTCAGCAGCTGAAAGCAAACACTTATTTTTGCAAAGCTTAGAACTCAATCATAACGGACAATTGTTAGGGATGATTTCTTTTTAAAAAACATCAGCATCTATGTTAGAGAGAATAATGGACTAGAGGTACTGGTATGGAGTGAAAAGCCAACTCCTTTTCTTCAATAAACCAAATAATAATAATAATATATCACAGATAAGGAGGTTTTAAACAACCTAGTAATATCGAAAGCAAAACCCTTGGCCAAGATCAAGAGGTCCAAGATGAACCAGTCTTTAAAATACTAATGGTCTTGTTCCTTGGGGTAGAAAATAAGAGTCAGGGGAAACAGTCCCCTGTAGATAAAACTGAAAGTTCACCTGTGCATTTGTGAATATGAACACAAGTAAATCCAACCTTTTAGTACAGCCTTAGTAGAAAGTGTTAACAAAGAGATGATTCCAGTTTTTAAACTTGGCAATTTTGAGGGGCAGCTGGGAGGCCAAGGTTTGTCTAGATTTCACTCCCACATGGACATTAACCCAAACACAGGAAGTTGTGTGCTTTGGCCCTACCAACGTATACAAGCTGCATGGAGGGAGGAAGGGTGTTCTGTAAAAGGAAATGCCACATTATCAACCTCTAGAAGAGTTTCAAGTCCGTACAGGTAAAAAAAAAATAGTCTTGCTTGTCTACCCTCATAGGGTTCTGAACCTTACAGCAAAATCTTGTGAGCTTCTCAGTAGCTTTGAATTTCACTCCAATGATATAACTCAAGTGTGGATTCTTGATTATTTATATTTTCTCAATATGACCAAATGAGCTAAGCAGCTGAGGAAAGATGATCAATTCTGAACCCAATTTTGTTTTGTTTTGGAGGGCGGGGGCGGGGTCTTCCTTTTCAGGAAACAACCTGTATTGGGTATAGTGTATTTTAACTTCAAACTGTTAAGAGCCAGTTAATAAATCTCTTTAATACTAAGAGGAGGCAAACTAAATTGCCTTCCCCCATTCTTCAAGAGCAATGTCTTTTTCTTGAAATGCTTTGGGTGAGTAAGCAGCACAGTGAGCAAATGGATTTGTGTACCGAGGAAGTGACCACCCAGAAGGAGGGCCACCAAGAGCTGGCTGCACCTGTGGCAGCTGAGGAGAGGCCGACCCCTCCTCAGACCTCCAGTTCTGTAAATGCTTGCTAAGCAAGCACACTTCCTCAGAGGAAGGGACAAAGTCTGTGATTCTGAGCAGATGACAGAATCTACTCAACACCAGATAAATGGCTCTTTTCTTGGGGGAGTTGTTTATCTATGACAAAGAAATGTATTTTTTGAACACATGGATCTCTGTCTTTAAAATCTCTGTATTGGAAATGTAGCTTGTCTGAATATTTACTGAGCACCCAGCATCTGCCAGGCACTGTGCTATGCGCTAGGACTAGAGGACAGAACAAAATACACATGGTTCCTACTTCAACCCACTACTGAAATGCACAAAACAAAAGCCTGAAGCTAACTGCAAAAACACAGAACAGCTCTTTTATTTAAAATGCTTGCATTGTATAGGGCCCAACATTTTAAGAAACACTGGTTTTTTTTTTTTTTGAGTCTTTTGTTCTAATTGTCCTCTTCCCAGGATAAACTCAGAAAAAGAAAAATCCATTATGATCAATGTTCCTTTATTGTCACAGTGATCAACTATAGTGTCAAGAACATGTTTGGGTCTCCTGGTCCTAAGCGCGAGTGACTCAAGGAACTACTTGAGTCACTGAACCCCCTCCTCCCTTCTTGTGTCCCGATGAATTATAATTCCTTATCCAAAGACTAAGTTTCCTGAGGGTCACAGTACACCTGTGTAGTATCACATTAGAACACCTACAGCACTGGGGCGCCTGGGTGGCTCAGTCTTTAAGCATCTGCCTTCGGCTCAGGTCATGATCCCAGGGTCCTGGGATCGAGCCCTGCATCGGGCTCCCTGCTCAGTGGGAAGCCTGCTTCTCCCTCTCCCCCTCCCCCTGCTTGTGTTCCCTCTCTCGCTGTGTCTGTCAAATAAATAAAATCTTAAAAAAACAAAAACAAAAAACGAAAACCCACCTACAGCATAAAGCTAAGGCCAACAGAAATTCCAGAGCTTATAGGAGATACAGAGAAGGATTACTCTTTATAAAAATTGCCTGGTGAAAAAAAGAAAGGAAAAAGAATATGGTCAGCTGCCAAGGCTATGGAGTCAGGCTGCATGGGTTTGAAATTTAATTCAAACACTTATTAGTTGTGTGGCTTTGGGCAAGTGACTTATCCATGCTTGTTTCCTCAATTATAAAAGTGAAAGTAACAACACCTACCTCACGACATTGTTGAGAAGACTCAAGGAGCCAACGCATGAAAAGCACTTAACAGGCCTGGCATCTAGTAAGTGCTCAATAGTTGGTACCTATTTGAACCTATTTTTTTTTTCATTAGGGCCCAGTATTAACAACTTCAAGTCTTATACTAGGAGGGTGTTTTTAGACCTTAGAAAATCGGACAGGATAAGCCTCAGACCCTAAGATCCAGCATTAGCAATAAATAAGACAACTCATGATTCCCAGGTCAAGGGTTCTATTTCCATGGGGAAGAGCTAGCAGACTGTTTCATAGTCTCAAAACTAACATCCATGAACCTGTACAACCTGCATTTGGTCAAAAGACAGGAGATGGAGAGACTGCAGAAAAAGCCATTAACAGTAATAGAAAAGTCCCGCAGCATTACCTGCACACTATGAAGGGTGGCCCTTGGTACAGTTTGTGGGTTTAGCAGACTTTAGACTATTTAAAAAGTCTAAACATTTTCCCCCAATCTGCTTTTTTATTTAAATTCAATTAGTGAACTTATAATACATCATTAGTTTTTGATGTAATGTTCAATGATTCATTATCCCCAATCTGTTTCAGTGACTTTTCCTGTGTCACTTGCTGACTGCCCTTAACTGTTAAGTAGAAACTATAACTGAAATATTGCCATTACACAATTTCTTGCCAAGTGATTATCTCCCACACTTTTATCCACTCCTACTGGAAGAAGAGTATGCCCTAGGATTAAAAGTGAGGGCTCAAATCCCAGCTCAGTCACTGAGGGCAAATCACTAACCTCTCTGCAGTCAGTTTCCTCATTTGTAAAACAAGGATAATAACAGTACTTACTTCAAAGGGTTTTGGTGAGGACTACATGAGATAATGCACATTAAGCACTTAGCAGAGAGTGGTATAGCATAAGCAGTCAGTAAGATTGCAAATTATCATCATTATCCTTGATATTACATGTGTTACCAGATTTAAAAGGTACCACTTGCCCAATGTTTGCAAAGCTCCTCAGTGACCTTGGAAGGTCTCTTGACAGTTAGTGAACACAGCTGTTTAAGTGCTTTTCCATTCTAATTGTCAACGTGTGAAGTCTAAGTCTGCATGCAGGAAAGTTCAAACATATTTTAAATGTCTCATCTCAATGGCAGGGTATTTTGTAAAGGTTAAAGATAACAATTGTGTACCCTCTTGTACACAGAACACTACACTAAGGGTTCCCTTTCTGTGGCCCATGGAATAGGCACAAACATAATCCAACTCTCACTTCTCTTAATTTCCTCCCCCTGGCCAACGAATGACTGCTATTGCTGTCAACTCTGGGTTTCTGCAAGGAGGAAGGAGATGACAAGTGGGCCTCGTGTCATGGGCTCCCTTTCACCCACAAATTTTGGTAACAGGTCAGAGGCAATGGCAAATGATCTAAAGGCACACCCACTCTTTGCCAATCTGCAAGCTGGAACTGCTTATTTGGGCCAAATTCAGGAAGGCTGTTTACCAAGGAGGTGAGAAAGAAGTAACTTTTGACAAAGCTGCATTTCAAAACCTAATGAATGGACAAATAAAACAGGCCATTAAAAACACAAAACCAACCAAAAAACCCACAACAAACCAAAACCTACAGATAGGATGGCTCTTTAACAATCTGGGTAATAGCTAAAGCTTATCTCACTCTTATACTCATACAGAAATATGTGTATTATTAAGAATGAATATGTAAAACCAAGAGACTACCTTCCTAACATCTTTAGAACTGAGGCACATGGAAAATGCTGCTTAATGTGACAAGTGAAATGAAGCCAATGTCAAACTTTCTTAAATCAAAAAGTATCTGTAATAATATGCAACTAATTTTTAAAACTGAAAATATCACCATCCTTTCACTGTTTCTGTCTCTCTGTTGCAGTGATTTCCAATCAGAACTCTTAAAGCATCTTTAATACTTCAAGGAACGCCCCCAAATCCCTCATCACCAAAATTAAAAGTATTAAACAGATCTTATTCTCTAAAATGTGCCAAGGAATGTCTTTTAAAAAGAGAACCAAAGAAGCAGGGGCACAGTGTTATAAGGACAGATGATAATACGGTGTCAATTTCAAAAAGTTTGGGGACTACTACTCTACTGGAATAGTTACTCCTGGATAACCAAATACACACAACCCTAGATTTCATACCCAGTCCACTTTATAAAAACATTATGGGTACGAGTTAGCCTTGTGTGTCCGCTAACGAATTTAGAAAGATTTCTAGAATTACAATACCCTAGAAGACAGGTATATCAAGAATCTTAAGTGCAAAATGTAAATCACACACAGCTGGCATCACACAGTTTCAAAAACACAGTTTCTGTGGCAAAGAGATTTTTAATATCTTAACTTTTACCTGTGCACTAAACTTTATCAGCACCATATATTGATTTGGAGTAGAGTCTCTGATGATTTTCATTTGTTCAATTACTTCATTAAATGGGGCGACAAACTTCATAAGGTCATGACTGGTCATTGTAGCAGGGACTGTGAGAATACACAGCATGGCACTGCGCCTCACATCTTCTTTTAAGGAGGTCATCTTACTAATAAGACAATAATTAGACTGTCTTGAATGGATGAGGTATGGTTAGTTCAGACAACACTAATTAGACAACTTTTATGTCCAAGAAAATAGAAAAAAAAAAAACCTTGTTATACTTCACAGATTGATTTATACAGTGTTATAATACCTGAAAACCCACACGACCTGATTAATGCAGAATACCTTCAACATGTCTGCAACAGAGCTTAAGGTAAGCTGTGCAACAGTCTCGATTACACCCACCACTGAAATTTTACGGAAATATTTAACCTTCAGTTAAAGGCTTACTACAGTTATAAATCAGTGGTTTGTTTTATTCTCATTAGCTTTTTAATAATAAATTCTCATTAGATAACTCAGAAGCACAACTCTATGTTTTTACTTTTTTTTTGCCCTTAAGTTTTAAAATCACTATTCTGGAAGTTAAAGAAAACTGCCCCCACAAAGGCAGAGAGGCAGCCACAGTATGACTCAATCTACAAGTTAATGGGCAACTCTAACTATGCACTTCTCTCAAGGGGTCTAGAAGAGGAGTGTTCTAAATATAAGAAAGAGAATTCAGAACTATGAAGATGTGATTCTGAAGATTACAGAAAGTGCTGTTGGGTTAGAATAGCTGGAATAGAGGAAAAAGAAAAAACCTCCCACAATCCAATTTGCTTTTGAAATGCTGCAAACTTACTTCAACAGGTGTGATCCCAAAAGGCAACCTGAGTATTCACTGTTTCCCAGTGGGGACCTAGCAAACACGTTAGGAGGATAGGCTTTAAAGAGATCAGCTACCAATTATCCAAGGGGCTGAAGACCCAGCTTATAGATTATCCAGCCAAATGCTTCCTTCCTTTGGCTTCTTTTAAGTTTTGTGTGGACCACAAAAAAGATTAGAAGAGATGATGAAATTGTAGTCCATTAACAGACTTAACAGCTTTTTTAGTAAAGATCTGAGGGGATATGAGACTGCAATGATGTTATGAATCATTTATAATTTTTTTTTCCTTTTTATCTTCCTTCCTTTTAATTTTCCAATCATCTTGCATGCCTACCTTCTCAGGGAATATTTTCTTAGGTATTTTCTCAGTGTATCTACATGTTTCTTTTCTAAGAAGCTTTGACCCAATCTCTAAGATTAACCAAATATAAAACATCTAAGAATTCTCTAACATACAATATATGAAAAGTATTATCCTTCTGAAGCTTAAAATATCCACTGCTCCTCAGGGCAAGAAATATTTCACTGCCCTGAGACAAAAAAACAGACCAGTTCAAAAGGAAAGGGTTTTTCTTACTTTGTCTTGTATAGATGCATAATACCATGAACTATTTCAACTGATGGGTTTCCACTAAAGAACGAAATCTGGTCTGGAAGCTGTTTGGATGGAGAATCGGGAGCAGCATTTATGCATTCTATACTTTGATCTTTACTCTTCTGTGCAGTGGGAGATGCTTCTGAAGACTTCCTTTCTTCCACTGTGGCTTTCAGCTCATCTTTCACAAATCAAAAAATTAGCAGATTATAAACTGATAGGAAATATGTGGAAGGATTCTAATTAGGTTGAAATTTTAAGTCAGAAAAATAAACTTCAACAGAGAAATTGTAATGTATTGCATTAAGAACCATATTTACAGAACAGCCAAGTTTTAAGGGCATCTAAACTTGAAAGCAATCTTTGTCTCATAAAAATTTCAATAATACCCACAGAAACTTAAGGATGGCTCTTACATCTGGCAGTACCATAATAAAAGCAGATGTCTTCCATCATGTACTCTTAAATGGGACACTCAGGGCTATTAACTTGGAAAACCAAACCTACCAGTTCTAATCACCTCCACGCTGGAGATATAGTACACAACCAGGCTCTCGGTTGGAGTGAGCTGGAAGTGTGTGTATGGGTGGGGCGGGGGGAGGGCGGCGGAGACACAACATGCTTATCTGGATTTATTCGTGATCTGCCACTAACCTAGATGGTAAGTAGCTCTCCTCACTGAATAAAGTTGTCGACCCACCTAGTTAGTATTAATTTAGGAGAAATATTTGGAGACGCTGAAGTGTGGCTTGACAACCTCATGTAAGGCACACAGGTAGTGAAAGATAAAAGTATGTTAGAGGTCAAAATCATGGGCTCATGGAATAACATGTGTAAGACAGGTAACCAGGGGCTTATGTTACACGAGTCTGGGGTTTTAGAAGCATACCTGGATTGGACTTCATGGTCTCAATGATCATATCTGTCATTTCTCGACGGCCAAGATGCTGATGTATGATTGCTGCTTTCTCCCCTGGTGACTTCCCTTCTAAAGAGGCTACAGCTGAGGCTAGTGTCTTCTTTTTGATCTCCTCATCAGACATTTCCCCAGCTAAGGAACACATGAATGATTAATATCTGATAATAAAACAAGTTCTCCACTTTCAATGTATCCATCGATAAGCTTCCCTTTTCTCTCTGCTGCCCTCCTCCAAGATAATATGATGCCTTTGCATCTCTCACTCACCTCTGGGGCTCCTCAGTGCCCAGCAGATAGTCAATAAACACCCAGTGCAATAAATTCAGAAATGCAGGGTTGTTCTAGTGAAATTATGCGTTTTAAAGCAAATCAATGAGAATAAGAGCTTTAGAGAAGGTTCAACAGTGATTATGTCCGTATTGAACCAACATTTTAAGTAATCTCTGGTAAAGTGAGACTGTGTTGAGATCCAAATGGAGGTCTCGGGTCCATTAATAAAAATTCAAAAACCTTTAGCAGTAGTCTTCTTAAACACCCTGGGTTAGCCTCATGCCATGAATCATACTATGAAAATCTGTGATCACAGTCTTAAATCAATGAAACACACAAAAATGGAAAAGGAACTTGGAGACTCGATTGAAATACTCTTAATGTAAGTTCTATCAGAGCAGGAACCAGGCCTGTTTTGCCCACCACTGTATCCCTAGCACTTACACCACAGTGCCTAGCACACCCTGGAAGGTCTTCAGTAAATCAAGGACTGACCTGTGTAGAGGTGTATTCGTGCCTAATGTCAATTTAGCTGACTTTCACAACTTAGGGATCACTGGTAGTTTTTGAAAGGTGCTTGTAACCCATTAAATCATATTCAATTTTTAATCTGCAGCTCCAAAATTCACACACTCAGGGGAGTTTCTTTTCTTTTTAAATTTTTTTTTTCAAGATTTTATCCATTTATTAAACAGAGAGAGACAAAGTGAGAGAAGGAACACAAGCAGGGGGAGTGGGAGAGGGAGAAGAAGGCCTCCCACTGAGCAGGGAGCCCAATGCGGGCCCAATCCCAGGACCCGGGGATCATGACCTGAGCAGAAGGCAGAGCGGGAGGCAGACGCTTAACGACTGAGCCACCCAGGCCCCCCTCAGGGGATTTTCTAAGGACATCGTCTCTACCTGCCCCAGGCCCCCTCCCCAAACCAAAAATATCCTCGTGATAGCTTTCCAAACTCTTCTTTTCCTTCACAGCTCTTTTCATGGATGTAATTCCACATTTATTCTGTAATTATTTAATTCACCTGTCTACCTCATTGAGCTGCCGGTGCCATTAAAGCCGGGACCATGTCTGATTCTGCAAACAACTAAAGTTCCAGCAGAGAGTGAGCATTCAGTAATTACTTCTTGAATAAATGTTATTGTTAGGAAATTGCTTAAGGTCCAAGGAACACAGGCATAGCTGCATTCCCCATGAAGGAGGCTGTGTGTGGCTGGTAATGAACAGCTCAGACTCTCAAGTCTAGCTCTGAGTTAGAATCCCAGTTTCACCACTTACAGGACAATGGTGGGCAAGTCATTTAATCACTGGGCTTCAGTTTCCTAACCTGTAAAAGGCGCGTACATTTACCTAACAGGGTTGTTGCGAAGATAATTAAAGAAGATAATACACACGGGGCACCTGGGTGGCTCAGTTGTTAAGCATCTGCTTTCGGCTCAGGTCATGATCCCGGGGTCCTGGGATCGAGCCCCGAGTCGGGCTCCCTGCTCAGCTGGGAAGCCTGCTTCTCCCTCTCCCACTCCCCCTGCTAGTGTTCCCTCTCTCGCTATCTCTGTCAATAAATAAATAAATAAGATCTTAAAAAAAAAAAGAATACACACAAAGTGTTTAGTACAGTGCTGCGACACAGGAAGTGTACAAACTTTAGCTACAGTTACTACTGTAGTTGCAGGGCGCCTAAACAGAAATTCTTCCAAAGAGGAACGATTTAATTAAACCACGAACCGTCAGCATCTCTGGGATCCAGTCGCTGCCCTCACAAAGCCTGGAGGAGAGCAACTTACACAACTTGACTCTAACCCAGGGTGGAGAGGGCGACGCGCCAGGTATAAACAATGTGCCCGTGGGAAGGCACAAGGAGGGAGGGACCGGGAAGGGCTTCCCAGAGATGACATCCGAGAGGCCTATTTAGGATGGACGGAATGAGACGAATCTCAACCACCTCTCAGCTTCTTCCCGACACAAAGGCCCTCGCCGCCGCCTTTCCCCGGGCGCGTACTTTGGGAGCGCGAGCCTCCCGGGCCCAGGCGCGGGGCCAGACGCAAGGCTGCGAGGCCGCGGGACTCACCGGCGGCGCTGAAGCCGAAGCCGGAGGGGACGGACGAGTGTTCCGCAAGCTCCAGTCGGATGACAACCAGTGACACACTCATAGGGCAGGCGCTGGCCGGCGCGGGCCCCGGCGGGCTCAGGAGAGGCTGGAAGGCGAGCTGAGAGGCCGAGCGGCCCAGGGTCGGCAGCGCTGCCACCGCCTCAGCGCCGCCGCCGCTGCCTCGGTAGCAGCAGCTCCGCGCGCAACCCTGCGAGCCACAACAACCCTCACTTCCGCCTCCCGGCCGCCGTCGTCGACCCTCGAGGTTACGCGTGCGCGGAGCAGCGCGCGCTCCGATTGGATAGGGTGGCGGCCACGTGACTGGCGTAAGGACGCCGAGGTGAGTCTGCGCCCCCCGGACGGAAATCTTGAGGAGGTCGGGGAGGAGGAAGCTTACGGAGATTGCAGGCGCCGGGTGCCCTCTTAGGCCGATCGGTGGGTTTGCGCCCAGGCCCGAGTTTACCTCTCTCAGAGGCCTTACCCTCAGGCTGCCTCCCGACGGCGAGGGGTCTCCGGGTCGGCGAGGTCTCCGAATTGTCCGAGGAACCGTGCCCTGTGGCGAGCTCTTGCCCCTTTGTTGTGTTTGACCCCGCGCTCTAGCGCTGGAGGGGTTGCTTTGTGTTAGCCACACTTTACAGATAGGTACGCCAAAGCGCAGAGAGGTGTCTTCGCCTCTCTGAAGGCCCTTGAGGAACAGGGACTCGATGGCAGTGTTTCTGACGATGTCGAGGTAGGGCGGTGGGCTGGTTAAGCGCACGGTGTCGGGAGTTAAATCTGGGCCCTGCTCCCGGCTCCGTAAGTTCACAAAGGTTTACTGCGAGCCTAAGCACTGTTGGGGTGGTGGGGATGTTTTCGTGAATGAGATAAGCACACAGTTCCTGCTCTAATGGAGTCGACCTTGATCGGTTGTGTGACCTTGAGCTAGGTTTTTTGACATAAAAGTGGGATAATATACAGCCATGGGCATGAAAAAGAGCCTGTGGCTCTACATATATCATTTTTTCTTAGATTCAGCTTTCTTTCCAGTATGTCAGACTGCTTTTAGCATATAGAGAGCCACAGTCAATACCTAAATGTCGCACACATGACAGGATGCTATTCCAAGCATATGCTGTAAGGATTTCTAGGATGCGTCACAGCACATCCTGGACTACATATGCATATAACATAACCACATGCTATATGTGTATATAGCTTGTGACTGCATCTTATGAAATATGTTTCAATACACACTGTTTATATCTCCCAAGTGGTGACAACCAAAAATGTACCCAGACCTTGCCAAATGTCCCCTTGGGACCAAAATCACACCCCGTTGAGAATCGCTGATGCATATGCCATATTCACATAGTATATGCATATAATCTATGAGACCTCATGAACTTTTTATAGTATACTACAATACTAGATAACATTTTTATTTCTCTTTTTTTTTTTTTTTTTAGAGAAGGAGTGGGGAGCATAGGGAGAGCGAGAGAGAGAATCTTAAGCAGGCTCCACGCCCAGCAGCAGAGCGCGACTCAGGGCTTGATCTCACAACCCTGAGATTGTGACCTGAGCTGAAATCAAGAGTCAGATGCTAAACAACTAAGCCACCGAGGTGCCCCAGTAGTAGATAACATTTAATAGTGTGCCAGGTACTAACTTGAGTGCTTTACATACTTTATTTCATGTAATAGTAACAACTTTATGAGACTGGTATATAATTATTCCCATTTACAGAGGGAGGAAGAACCTGAGTCTCAGAGAAACTTGCTCAGGATCTCACACTTAGTAAGTGGCAGAGCTAGAATTCAAACCCAAGCAATCTGATTCTAGAGCCACACTCAACCTTTTTACTAAACCATCTTTTTTTTTTTTTAAAGATTTTATTCATTTATTTGACAGAGAGATAGCGAGAGTAGGAACACAAGCAGGGGGAGCGAGGGAGAGGGAGAAGCGGGCTCCCCGCTCAGCAGGGAGCCCGATGTGGGGCTCGATCCCAGGACTCTGGGATCATGACCTGAGCTGAAGGCAGATGCTTAACGACTGAGCCACCCAGGCGCCCCTAAACCATCTTCTTAATATGTGACAACACACTGCATATTTATAAAAGCATAAATTAAGTAGCAAGGCTACATTATCATACTAATCTCATTATTCTGAAAGAAGACAAATATTCTCTATGGTACAGAAGGAACATGCTAGTTCCAGAGAATAGTTAATGATGGGCAAGTTGGGCTTGTTACCATTTTCTGTGGCTATCAACAACTAAACCTGTCCCCTGCCTTGCCCTATTTTCTGATTCATCTATACATCCTTCCAACTCATTTATACTGAGCATCTGCTGTGTGTCTAGATGCAGTGCTAGGCCCCAGGGGGATGGGTATACACAAAGATGAAATATATACAAAGATGAAAAGATAAGATAGGCCTTGCTTTAAGGAGCTTACAATTATAGGAGCAGATAAGCATGAAAACAGTTACTGTGTAATGGAGTAAATGCTCTAGTGAAGGTATGGAGAAGAAGCAATAGGAGTTTAAGAAAAAAAAAAAGTACCAGAGCCTGCCTGGAAAAGAAAAAGCCTCAGGGTGCCTGGCCGGCTCAGTCAGTAGAACATGAGACTCTTGAGTTCGAGCCCCATGTTGGGTGTGGAGCCTACTTAAAAAAATAAACATAAACAAAAGAAATGTTAAAAGCCTCTTGAGAGGATGTAAAGGTAAAGCTGAGGCTGTGATGTAAAAATGAGTGAAGTGTACAGCAGATGAAGTGGGAAAAGCTGTCACAGTGCACAGCTCCCAGAGCCTGGAGGTGGGAGAAACAGTGTTTTGCCACTCTGAAGAGAGTGTTGGGAAGTGGCTAGAACAGACCCATCATCTCTAGTTGGAAGGAATAAGCAAGCTGGTCATGGGAGCATTGCCCACTCATCCATTAGTACCCTCAGTTGAGATGCAAGCCAGCCCTTCAGGCCCCAGAGATGCTTTTCACCACCGTTAAGCCCTGACACAGTTTTTGAGGCTTTTAGAAGCCTATAAATAAACTTCCATTATAAACTCTGGCCTTGGTGTGGGAACATAAGTAAAACTGAAAATGCAAATCAACCTTTAAGTTTTTCATTTCAACCCCCCCTCCCAGTTCTGCAAATTTCCAGTTATATGAAAAACACACTGTATCATCTCAAGGATTTACTGCTTGAGAACCCTTTCTTTAGAGTCTTCTATGGCTTACTGAATCCTGATGGCCACACTGAAGTGACTCCCATAAACTTATAGGCTGTCTTCCCAAACTATGTTGTCCAAACCCGATTTTTAGTAAGCTTTGAAGCTATAGAAATCACACAAAAAGTGCAAAGATTTTCATACAGACCTGACTGCAAATAGCATTTGCTTTCATTAATTTGTTTTTACCCCAGCTTTTTACTTCAGAGATACAGAAAAGTTGAAAGAATAGTACAGTGAATGATCTCTCATATACTCTTCATCATATGTCCTTCACCTAGATTGACTAAACATCTTGCCACGTTTGGTTTATCTCTATCCCTGTATATAGGTATATGTCTATATACATATGTGTGTGTTGTGTGTGTGTGTGGGGGGGGTTTAACTTTCTGATGAGAAAAGAGACAAAGGGAGAACAGTTAGGAGGCTGTTGGTGTGATGGAGGCGCCATCCGTACCAGGAGGAGGTCAGTACTGGGCATTCTGGGAGTATACAGGAGAGGCTTCTCATCTGTCTTTTCTGGTAGCCAAAGGGGGTTTCCTGAAGTAAGTGATAGGTAAACTACAACCTAAAGGACAATTTGGAATTAGCCAGGTAACAGGTGGAAGGGAGCAGTCCAGGGCAAGGCAACAGCACAGGCAAAGGCATGGTAGCTGGAGGAGAACATCATGTGTTTAAAGAAGCTGCATATAGGTTTGTGTGTCCACAGCATCCAGATTAAGGTGAAAAAAGAGGGAGAGTTGCTGCCAAGAGTAGGGGGCAGATCTTAGAGGGCCTCTTGAGACAGGCTAAGGAACAGAGTTTATCTTGAGGGCAGTGGGGAGCCATTGAAAGTTTTACTTTTTTTTTAAGATTTTATTTATTTAATTGACAGAGACAGCGAGAGAGGTAACACAAGCAGGGGGAGTGGGAGAGGGAGAAGCAGGTTTCTCCTGAGCAGGGAGCCCAATGCGGGGCTCGATCCCAGGACCCTGGGATCATGACCTGAGCTGAAGGCAGACGCTTAACCACCTGAGCCACCCAAGCGCCCCGCCATTGAAAGTTTTAAATGGCGTTAGGATGTGGCCAAATTTGCAGTTTTGAAGGAGCAGTCTTAACTCTGCTTGAAGAGTGGAGAAAGAATGAGGAGTTTGAGAAGAGGCAAGGGGATCCGTTAGGCTTGTTGCAGTGATCTGTGGGCAAGATAATCTGTGGGTAGTAAGTGGAGAGAGGTCGATGGCGATTTTCAGGAGGAAGACGACAGCACAGAGCACATGGAATTGAGGTGGCCAGGTGGGGGACTGAGAGAAGTCAGGAGTGAACCCCAGATTTCTAGCTTAAGCAGCTAGCTGAATGGTGGAACCCTTTACTAGGCTAAGGAGCTTAGAAAACAGAGTAGTCCAGGAGGGTTCAATTCTGGTTGTGGTTTGAAGGGTCTGCGGGAGATAGTGGAGATGTCCAGTTGGCATGCCTGAGCTCCCGGATGGAGGTCTGGATGGGAGGCAGTGAAGGCAAGCTGTGCCCTGTGTCTTCTTCTCGTGCAGTGTTGGCCTCAACATGTGCATAAGGAAGCTTTTCCAGTCCTCACATCTCCAGTGTGCTTGGAGGGTAGCCTTCCTGAAACACATCCAGGGCAGGCACCAGCCAGCCAGGCGATGGGCACATTCTGGAGGCGGCACCTACAGAGCGGTGATTTTTGACATGGGTGGAGTTCTCATTCCTTCTCCAGGGAGAGTGGCCGCAGGTGAGCTCTACATTCTGTTTCACTTTTGGAGACTAGGGTCGGGGTAGGGGGAATGCAGTGTGTAAGGGGAGGCTGAGAGGAACATTTGGGCAGCTCTGCTGTGAGTACCCTTCATTTCCAGTTTCACCTCATGGTCTGTCTTTGCTGCTTTGCCTCCTACCATCACATTCTCATTCCAGCCAGCAGGAAGGAAAAAAGGCCCAAGAGCTGACCTACTATGGTGGCTGGTTGGGCAGTTCTCCATGCTAAGCCAACCCAAGTACAGGTTTTATATGCCCCTGAGTAAACATTTCCTATTGACCTTAAACATGAAACAGTTATTTTACCAGCAAAAATGAGTTTGTTTGGGAATAGCAAGAGAACTGCGGTTTGGGACAAGCAAGCTATGGCCAATACCATAGGCTAGTCTCACAAAGGAGAGGAACATTATTTTATGGAGAAAGAAGAGGAAATTAGGGCTTGTTTTGAACAGAAGTCCACTGGAGAAAGGCAGGAGCTCAGGGTGATGATGAGTTCTCATCAGCCAAGTTGCTGGGGTAGTGAGTTCAGCATACATCTTCCTCCTGTTGAGGCCAGGAAGTGATGATCCTTTCCCATTGGAGATTCTGTAACTGACAGAGTTGGAAGGGCGCGAGAGCTCCCCCTTCTGGCCTCCTGGCTTCATTTCTGCGAGGATTCCCTTCTCACCTGACCCAGCTGAGCAAGCAGACTTGGAGAGCAGTTTTTTTACCTCCAGCTGCAGCTGGGCGCTCATCCTCTCTATTCCTCTGCTCATATTCCTTTGACATTTACTGCGGGGCTGTTCTGACCTCCCCAGCAGTCATCCTACTCCCCCCGCCACAAACCTTCATCCTTGGCCAACAGCTGAAACTCCTCTTTTTACCGAAAACAAAGATTACTGGACAGGAGTTTTCTCAACTTTCTCCAGAATATCTCGAGAACCTATTTGCTTCACTCACTCCTGTCTGCCTCGGCCCAGATTTCGATCCCTATCTTCCCCCACCTGCACCATCCCAGGAGCCTCCTAACTCCTCTGTCTCTGCCTCCTGGCATTCTGGGTTTTGCGCCACCTTCCACGCAGCCCCCAGAATTACCTTTCTGAAATACAGATCTTATCCCCTCACTCCCTTGCTTCAAATCCTTGAGTGCCTGTGCTTTGTCCCTTAGATTAAGTCCAGAAGTTTGTTTTGTTTTGTTTTGTTTTTAAGATTTTATTTTTATTTATTTGAGAGAGAGAGAATGAGAGAGAGAGAACACCTGAGAGGGGATAGGGTTAGAGGACGAAGCAGACCCCCCGCCGAGCAGGAAGCCCGATGCGGGCGACTCGATCCCGGGACTCCAGGATCATGACCTGAGCCGAAGGCAGTCGCTTAACCAACTGAGCCACCCAGGCGCCCTAAGTCCAGAAGTTTTTGCTTGGTATCCGAAGGCCTCTTGCAAATTAGCCCTCACGTCCTTTTGTCGCAGCTTTGCCCATGTTTCAGCTGCAGTGGGCTACTTGATGTTCTTTAAACTTGCCAAACACATTTACACTCTTGTGTCTTTGCAAGTTCTCTCCCCTCTGCTGGCAGCTACCCTTCCCCACCCCCTCTACCTGTTCAAATCCTACTGGTACTTTTGATGGTAAGTTAAGCAATGTAGGGACACCTGGGTGGCTCAGTCTGTTAAGCGTCTGTCTTTGGCTCAGGTCATGATCCTGGGGTCCTGGAATTGAGTCCTGCGTCAGGCTCCTTGCTCAGTGGGGAGCCTGCTTCTCCCTCTACCTGCCTCTCCCCCTGCTTGTGCAGGATATTTCTCTCTCTGACAGATAAATAAATAAAATCTTTAAAAAAAAAAAGTTAAGCACAGTGCCTGGAGTCTTGTGTACTCAGTACATCTTGTGGTGGTTGTTAGTATTGATTTTAAGACTTCTCTTCTGTGAAGGCTTCTCTGACCTCCTCCCTGGGTAGAATGTTCCCGGCTGGCATGTTCCCAGATCGGTTTAACCTCTGCCAAGGTGTGTCTGAGTTAGCAAACTTTTTCTATGAAGGGCTAAGTAGGCTTTGCAAGCCATACCATCCCTGTCACAACTGTTCAGTTTTGCTGTTGTGGCAAGAAAACAGTGACAGACAGTAGTAAATGAATGGGTGTCGTGTTCTAATAAAACTTCACTTACAAAAACAGATTTGGTTCCCAGGCCATATTTTGCATATCCTTGGTCTAGTTTATTTTTTTTTAAAGATTTTATTTATTTATTTGACAGAGAGAGAGACAGCAAGAGAGGGAACACAAGCGGGCGAGTGGGAGAGGGAGAGGCAGGCTTCCTGCTGAGCAGGGAGCCTGACATAGGGCTCGATCCCAGGACCCTGGGATCATGACCTGAGCCGAAGGCAGACGCTTAACGACTGAGCCACCCAGGGGCCCCAAAGCTTTGTTGTTGTTTTTTTAAGATTTTATTTGACAGAGAGAGAGAGAGAGAGCAGGCAGAGGGAGAGGGAGGAGAAGGGAGCCTGTTGCTTGATCCCAGGGCTTGATCCCAGGACCCTGGGATCACGACCTGAGCCAAAGGCAGACGCTTAATGACTGAGCCACCCAGGCACCCCCTCCTTGGTCTAGTTTATACATCTGTGTAGTATTCCATTATATGGATGTACCATAGTTGATTTAACATTTATTTATTTATTTATTTATTTTTAAAGATTTTATTTATTTATTTGACAGAGAGACACAGCGAGAGAGGGAACACAAGCAGGGGGGTGGGAGAGGGAGAAGCAGGCTCCCCGACAAGCAGGGAACCCGATGCGGGGCTCGATTCCAGGACCCTGGGATCGTGACCTGAGCTGAAGGCAGATGCTTAACGACTGAGCCACCCAGGCGCCCCGATTTAACATTTATTATACATTTAAGTTTCTGGTTCTTTTTTTTTTTTTTAAGATTTTATTTATTTGAGAGAGAGAGAATGAGTGGTAGGAGGGGCAGAGGGAGGGCTCCGCAGGGAACCCAACTCTGGACTTGATCCCAAGATCCCGAGATCATGACCTGAGCCTAAGGCAGACACTTAACCGACTGAGCCACCCAGGCACCCTCTGATTCTTTTGATTACAATTCTGCAATTCTGCACAGCCTTGTACATACTCTTTGCTGACTTTTATAGATCTATCTGTGGGAGAAATTCCTAGAAAGTGGAATTACTATATCAGATATACATTTAAAATTTTGCTATCCATAGAGGTTGTACTTTTTTCCACTCTCATCAACAGTATATGAGAATACCAGTTTCCTTATGTGCTTGCCAACTCTCAGACCATAAAAAATGTTACACACTTGGGCCGCCTGGGTGGCTCAGATGGTTAAGCATCTGCCTTCGGCTCAGGTCATGATCCTAGGGTCCTGGGATCGAGTCCTACATCGGGCTCCCTGCTGGGCGGGGAGCCTGCTTCTCCCTCTGCCTCTGCCTCTCTCTCTCTCTCTCTCTCTCTCTGACTCTCATGAATAAATAAATAAAACATTAAAAAAATGTTACACACTTTAGTTCTCAAATTAAACAAGTATGATTATTTGGATTGAGCTTTAAAAGTCTTGCTATTCTCGGGGCACCTGGGTGGCTCAGTCCATTAAGCATCGACTCTTGGTTTTGGCTCAGGTTATGATCTCACAGTGGTAGGATTGAGCCCCTCATCGGGCTCCGTGGAGTCAGCTTAAGATTCTTTCTCTCTCCCCCTTAGCCCCTCCCCACTCTCGTGTGTTCATGCTCTCTCTCTCAGAAAAAAAAAAAAAAGTCTTGCTATTCTCGAAAGATATAGATCAGATTAGTAACACTGATTATTTCTGAAGGGTGAGATTGCTTGTCATTTTACTTTTTTTTACACTTTCTATAGTCAGATATTTTCTTTTAAATTTTTTTTTTTTTAAGATTTTATTTATTTGAGACAGAGAGAATGAGAGAGACAGAGAGCACACGAGAGGGGGGAGGGTCAGAGGGAGAAGCAGGCTCCCTGCTCGACGCGGGACTCAATCCTGGGACTCCAGGATCATGACCTGAGCCGAAGGCAGTCGCTTAACCAACTGAGCCACCCAGGCGCCCTATAGTCAGATATTTTCAATGCACAAGCCCTACTTTATCAAAACAAGAAAAAATGTGTAAAGATTATGTCTTAGAAATAATTATGATTACCTTACATATTTTTGCCCCATAGCAGCTATATTTTAGAAAGAAAAAACAACCTTGTACAAGAAAAAGCAGCCCCTGTCTAAAGGTTCCCAGTGTACATGAATGTTGATCCATTCACTGACTGAGCCTCTTGTGGATAGAAAGTTTCTTTAGTCCACAAAGACGGCATCCTCCAAGCGAACGTTCCCGTGTACCACCAGCCCCACTGCCATCCAGGATTACTACAGTTTACAAAATGACAGGCTTGTTTGCAAGTGCTGCCAGAATCCAGCTTATTACACATGTATTTCCTTACCACATGGCAGGACCGTGTGAGTGAGCCAGCTAATGAGAGACCCAGGAAGAAAATGCATAACGCAGTGTCCAGAGTCACGTCAAGCAGGTGGTAAGGACCTGACACTTAGCTGCATCCCCTCGGTATCACTGTTGCCTTGGAGGCTTAAGGCTGAGATTTTGCATTTCCTGAATTTCTTCAGATTCCCAGCAGAATCCACCTGGCACCACAGCAGTGCCTCAGGGACTGGTTCAGTAATTCCCCAGGGCTTCCCAAAGCCCAGCCATCTGCCAATGTTCTTCACTCATTGCATATTTTACTTCCTATAGAATGGGAGCTACAAAATCATATCCCTCCTGGAACTATACGGAAGGCCTGGATCTTAGGTGGCGAAAATGGGCCCTGGATGAAACTTACGAGGGGAGAGATAACAACAGAGGATTTCTTGCAAGAATTTGGGAGACTTTGCTCTGACATTGTGAGTGATAAACACATTTGAATTTACATACTCTTTTTCCCAAATGGGTGGATGCCATACTCACTCATTAAGTTGATTAAGCTGCAAATAAAAAAGTAAAAACCTAATAATCTCTTGTAAGGTTTTTTGTGTTTTTTTTTAATATATCAAGTTTTTATTTATTTTGTTTGGTTTGGTCAGTTGGTTTTTTTCAAGTTTTTATTTAAATTTTAGTTGGTTAACGTACAGTGTAATATTAGTTTCAGGAGAATTTAGTGATTCATCACTTGCATATAACCCAGTGCTCATCACAAGTGCCCTCCTTAACACCCATTACCCATTTATGTTACAAGTTTTTAATGTATTTCTTCCATCCCCAGGTACTCAACTTTAGCTACATATATGAATATATAAAAGTATTCTTTACTAAGCTCCTCCATCAGCTGCTGTTCATCTGTAATAGGAGCTGTCTGCATAACGGCTTTGATTAGAAAGCTTATTTAAAGCAATAATAAGGGGTGCCTGGGTGGCACAGTAGGTTAAGCGTCCAGCTCTTGGTTTTGGCTCAGGTAATGATCTCAGGGTCCTGGGATCGAGCCCTGCATTGGGCTCCGTGCTCAGCGTGGAGTCTGCTTGAGATTCTCTCTCTCCCTCTGCCTCTGCCCCTCCTGCTCATGTTGTCTCTCTTCTCTCTCAAATAAATACATTTTTAAAGATTTTTTTTAATAAAAAAAAATAAAGCAATAATAATATTGAACCTTTTCTCTGTACTATGCATTGTTCTAAGTTCTTTTTTTTTTTTAAGATTTTATTTATTTGAGTGAGAGAGACAGAGATCATGAGAGCAAGCACTAGTGGGGAGGAGAGGGAGAAGCAGGCTCCCTGCCAAGCAGGGAGCCCGACACAGGGTTTGATCCCAGGACCCCGGAATCATGACCTGAGCTGAAGGCAACTATTTAACTGACTGAGCTACCCAGGTGCCCCTGTTCTAAGTTCTTTATTTACATTAACTCAAGTGTAAACTTCACAGTAATCCTACTAAAATATGATTTAAAATATAGTAAACAAAGTTCTGTGGATCCAGTGGTGGTAATGGTTGCACAATAACAAATGTACTTAATACCACCCAACTACACACTTAAAGTGGTTAAAATAGTAAATGTTTTGTTATGTATATTTTACTACAATTTCAAATATATATGTAAAACATTGTGCTAAATGAAAGAAAGAAGCTGGTCAAAAAAGACCACATACTGTATGATTCCATTTATATGAAATGCCCAGAATAGGGAAATCTATAGGAAAAGAAAGTAAATTACTGATTTTCTAGGACTGAGAGTACTGGGAAGTTGGGGGTAGGATGGGTAATGACTGCCAGTATATATGGGGTTTCTTTTCAGGGTGATGAAATGGTCTAAAATTGTTTGTGGTGATGGTCACACAACTTTGTGAACATATTAAAAACTGAATCATACAATTTATGGGTGAACTGTGCAGTATGTGAATTGTATTTCAATGAAGCTGTTCTACAATGTGTGTGTGTGTATGTGTGTGTGTGATCGTGTAAAATCGCAGACTTGCCTTTGCAGATTTTGAAATATGATGAGTTTTCAAAACCTGAGTAGGTTGAATTTAAAAATGAAAAATGGGTCCGAAACTGAAGTTCATAGTGGTGATGCTCAGGCAATAGAAAATCATTACATGTCTTCCGGATCATTAAGAATTAAATTAGATCTGCTTCATGTACTTTTGGGGTTGATACTTGTGAAGATTGCCAATCCATGAGTGAAATAAGGAATTCATTTAACTGGAATATTGATATAAATAGCTCCATTCCCTCACCAGAGGCACTCGAAGTCAGTCCTTACAACCCTGTACACAAAGTTCTGCACAAGGGCCGAAGGAGAATTCCTTTAGGTAGCAATATTTTCTCTGTTGGTGATAAGCGGTTCATCCTCCTTCTAATTATTGTTGGTACTCCTCTCCCCTCCCCACTTTTAGGCGAAGACTTCTGTACCTGTGGCCTCCTTTTTCTCTCTGCTGACCAGTGAGCAAGCGGCACAGCAGTTCCCAGTGATGACTGAGGCCATAACTCAAATTCGGGCAAAAGGCCTTCGGACTGCAGTCTTGAGCAATAATTTTTATCTCGCCAACGGGAAAAGCTTTTTGCCCCTGGACCGGAAACAGTTTGATGTGGTAAGCTTAAAGTGATCCAAACAATCAAAACAGAGTCTCTGTCCTTGCTTCCAGATGCATCATTAAACGCTGCCTTTTAGCAGGTCTTGAGTGAATGGGTTTTCTTATTCAGACGAACTTGACTTATTAGGTTTAGATATAACAGGATGAAAAGAGGACTTTTATTTTTTATTTTTTAAGATTTTATTTATTTATTTCACAGAGAGAGAGATAGCGAGAGCAGGAACACAAGCAGGGGGAGTGGGAGAGGGAGCAGGCTTCCCAATGAGCAGGGAGCCTGATATGGGGCTCAATCCCAGGACCCTGGGACCATGACCTGAGCCAAAGGCAGATGCTTAACAACTGAGCCACCCGGGCGCCCGAAAAGAGGACTTTAAAAAGGTTGCTGAGCTCTCAGCAAAGTCCAGTATTTCTGGGGCTTGATAACTGGTTGAAACCTCAGCTTTAGAGACTCTTTCACATTCTGAATTTGAACCTTATTCCTCACATAACACACAAATTTCCATTGGTCCTCACATCTTAAAGGGCCTGTTGACCTTTTCTCTTCAAAGACCAACCCTGTTGGGGCGCCTGGCTGGCTCAGTTGGAAGGGTGTGTGAATACTGATCCCAGAGTCATGAGTTCGAGCCCCATGTTGGGTGTAGAGATTAAATAAATATATTTTTTAGAGATTTTACTTATTTGTGGGGGGAAGAGAGCACAAGCAGGGGGTGTAGCAGGTGGAGGGAGAAGCAGGCTCCCTGCTGAGCAAGGAGTCCAATGTGGGACTCGATCCCAGGACACTGGGATCATGACCTGAGCTGAAGGCAGACACTTAACTGACTGAGCCACCCAGGCGTCCCTAAATAAATATTTTTAAAAAAGAAAAAAAGTGGGGGGGGGCACCTAGGTGACTCAGTTGGCTAAGCATCTGACTTGATTTTGGCTCAGGGTTGTGAGATCAAGCCCCTGCTTAGGATGATTCTCTCTCCCTCTCCCTTTGCCCCTCCCCCCTCAAAAAAAGAAAAAAAGACCAATGATGTTGCCCTCTATTCTGTGGCATTAATCCTGAGACCAGTGCTGTCTAACAAAACTTACTGCAGTAATGGAAATGCCCAGTATGGTTGCTACTGGTCACATAATGCACTTGAAGTGTGGATAGTATCACTGAAGAACTGAATTTTATTTCGTTTTTATTAGTTTAAATGTAAATAATCACATATGGCTGGTGGTTACTGTATTGGATAGCCCAGTGCTAAGACTATCCAACTACACTGAGAACATACTGAGATCTTCTGTGCCAAGAGGTTACTGTAGCTATAAAGGATTCCCCACTTCCCCAAGAGAAAATAGATTATCATCCTGGGGTAGGTAGGAATTAGTTATAGATGACCTGCTTAAACTTCAGTTAGAATATAAATTCTTACGGAGCAACGTTACTGTGTGGGGGGCGCTGGCTGGGCGTGAAGGGTTACTGTGTCAAATGTGACGGGCAATCCTGGCCCTCTGGAGAACGCACTTGCTATGTTTCAAGTGCTCAGTCACCACATGTGGCTAGCGGCTACTGTATTGGACAGCGCAGACACAGCACTGCCATCACTGCAGAAGGTTCTATTGGACAGTGCTATTTTAGAACATAAAATCTAGTAGAATTGACGGGTAGAAATTCAGAGCACAAAGGCTGGGGATTAACCTCCCAACCTAGTGCTGTTTTCACCTTCCACATCTTCCTTCCTTCTTGTAGAAAGCCCATCAGAGATAGAGTCCTCTCCCCTCTGGACACCTTGCCTGGCCCCCACCTGCTTTGATTGTTGGTTTCCCCGCAGTACACACACAGACATCTTCCAAGCTCCCTCCCCACGAGCATTTGGAACCTCAGCCAGATTCAGTCCTGTCTCTGCAACTTGCAAACCATGGACCGTGCTTTGCTGCCTTGAACCTCAGTTTCCTCATCTCTAATTCAGGAAGAGCAATTTCTTTGTTGTAGGGTAGCTGTGTGCACCCCACAGAGTAATGCATGCAAAGCTCCCTGCATGGTCCTGGCACGTGGCAGTTATTTTCAGAGATTCCTTCCATCCAGTGCAGCTATAGGAATGATATCTTCATCTGGACAACTGAAGCTGGTCAGGCTCACACTGAGCCCTCCAAATGAGGCTACAACTGAAAAGACCTATGAGCTTCTTGAAAAAAATGGACATGTTTATTTAGACTTCACAGGCTTTCTGGCATGTGCTTTCCAGCAGGTTTTCTGGTGGGTTTTCATATTTTAGGTCTGCAGGAGACCTGGAGTTTTAAAAATATTTCTTCAAGGCCAACGGTGTAGGTTTTTGTTCTCTAAAGCTCTAAGGCTATGTACAGATACACGTGCATGCGCGCACACACGTTTGATGGAATAGTGTGAGCAATCCTATAATCTCTGTCAACATTAGAGGCTGAACTCTTCAGTGTTATAGGAATCTGTCTCAGCTTAAAAAATTTTTTCATCTAATTTTTTAATTAAAAAATTACTACATTGTTTTTATTGTTAAAACCCACATAACATAAAATTTACCATAACTATTTTTTTTAAGATTTTATTTATTTGAGAGAGAGACAGAGATAGCGAGAGAGAGCACGAGTGGGGAGGAGAGGGAGAAGCAGACTCACCGCCGAGCAGGGAGCCCCACGTGGGGCTCGATCCCAGGACCCTGGGATCATTAACTGGGCCGAAGGCAGACGCTTAACCGACTGAGCCACCCAGGCGCCCCCATCATAACTATTTTTAAGTGTTCAGTTCAGTAGCATTAAGTATATTCACGTTGTTATGAAATAAATCTCCAGAACTTTTTCAAGTTGCAAAATAGAACAGAAGGAAAAGACCAGGGATCTTATCAAACTTAAATCTGAAGAATTTTTTCACTTCCCCAATGCAGTGACTCTCAGCGTAGTGGCTTCTGAGAGATGTCTGCTCATGAGAACTTGGCCCTGTCCCCTGGGTTCACCGCCCCCTCTCATCTGTCTCAGCCAGCACAGCCTCCCCTGCAGCACGGACCCTGGTCTGTATCTGAAACACCCTTTGCTATGCACTATTAATGTCTTCACTATAGGGAGCTTGTCTTTTTTAGCTCATTCAGGTGCATAAGTAGAGAGTCCAATGTATTCAGGACATTTATTTACCTGAAAGGGCAGCTCTCACCCAACCTTGAATAATGCAGTCTGGAGTAGAGGGAGGGGCCCCCAGGTTTGTCCTTGGTCTTGGAGAGTGTGAGTCTTTCCAGGACGGAGCAGGGATTGACATCTGTTCTCAGGGTAGACCAGAGGGTAGCGGGTCTAAGCCTCTGTGGCCATTTTAGGCCCACTTTCTAGGAGATTAAGCCCCGGGGACAGTGTGAGGACCTGCAGGGTTGCCTGGCACTGGAACAGCTTTTGCAGGGGGCTCCTGCACCCCCAGCAGCACCCCCACTCCCCCCAGTTCCGGATCACATACATGGTTGAAGCAAGGTTGTCAGGACACAAGGGAGCTCTTTGCATGAAAGGAATAGTGATTCTTTGCCACGAACAGTCTCTTTGGCATCGATCCTACGATGGGATTTATCTAAGCTGAGCATGGCTGTTTTGTGTTTTAACTTCTGAAATATGAACGTTAAGGTCATGTGTCTTTTGTAGTAGTAACCAGTGCCTTCTTTCTGAAAAAACGGTGAAGTACTTTTCCTAAGGCTGAAATGTGCAGCTCTTCTGTGTAGCCACAATATCTAACATTAGCGAAATGCTTTGTCATTTTGGAACTCACTCAACTTTCATTTAAAGTTCTCAACAACCACGACAATAGGTAAGATAGCTATTAGTATCCCCACATTACTGATGAGGATACCGTGTCTGAACCAGAACTCTGGTTTTCTGAGCTTGCCCCTAGGTAGTAATGCAGTATTTCCATATCCAACTTGAAAAAGCAGCAACATTTTACGTCGTAACACTCTTAAGTTACTTGTTATAACAAATCTCAACTGTCCTTATAGTATTCTTTTCAAAAACTATGGCAGTACGCATGTGGGAGCACCGCCTTTTAGAGCCACCTCTCATTCCTGTCCCTCGCTCAGGTCGTGGAATCCTGCCTAGAAGGTCTCTGTAAGCCAGACCCCAGGATCTACAAGCTGTGCTTGGAGCGGCTCGGCCTGCAGCCTTCTGAGTCCATTTTTCTGGACGATCTTGAACTGAATATAAAAGCAGCCGCCAGCCTTGGCATTCACACCATTCAGGTAATGGTCACAATTTTTTGAACCCCGGCTGTGCACCAGGCACTGGCCTAAGCATTTCTGTATAGTCCTGCTCACAATCATACTTGTGTTTAGTGGTTTTACCCCATGCTGCTGTAGTCTCATTTTTTTATTAATTAGGAAATTTATGTGACGAGCCACTCGCATTTTCAAAGGGAAGTAGGACAAACACGTACTAAGAAGGCAGTTTGAGAACAGAATTACACAAGGAGGGTGGCTGGCAGGCTTAAGACATTTGGGAGGGCAGTTAGGCTGTTCTAGTGATGCTGTTCTGGGTGGGGAGCCAGCAGCTAGCAGCCACACAGACCACCCGGGTCGTGGCTTTGAAGAGTGAGAAGCCACATGAAAGGAGACCTCTGACTGGCTTCCCATGTTCGCGTTTTCATGATGAGGCGGCTGATGGGCCGTCGGGACAGGGTGGCACAGCATTCTGCCCTCCTGGCGTGAAGGAGCATCATGGACTCTTAACTGACACTCTTCCAGCAGAGAGCGTTTAATGTGGTTAGGAATTAAATGGGAAGAGGAAGCTCATCCTACAGCTTCCTCGTTAGCTGAACATCCTGGCCTCCAAAGCCCTTGCTCAGAGACCTGACTTCTTGGTTATCTCCCCCTAAAGAACTACCCTTTTAGAGAACAGACAGGAGGCCAAGTCAGGGTTGACTGGTGATTGATGTTCAATATTCTCTTTGAAACCAGGTTGATGACCCAGAGACTGCCGTAAAGGAATTAGAAACCCTTTTGGGCTTTACATTGAGAATGGTTATTCCAAACACTAGCCCTGTGAGAAAGACAGTGGAGATTCCACGAGATTCCTTGGAGAAGTACCTCAAAGACTTACTGGGGACCCAAAGCACAGGTATTTACATGATTGTATTCTGCTGACTCTCTCAAGGCTCGGCTTTCAGTCTGGTTCTCCCTTTCAAACCCTGGTGGAATATGCTGGAGACAGAGGCTGTGTGGTGAGGAAAACAGCCATTGGGCTCAGTGGATCCGAGTGCAGCCTTCAGTCTTGCCTGGGAAAAAGCATTAACCCCAAAAGGTCACGCGCTCCCTCTTCCACCCGAGAGTGTGGTGTCGCAGGGATCCCCCCTGGGACCTGGAGCCGGTGGTGTGTGCCCAGGGATGCTGGACTGTGTCTAATTGTTTTGAGATGACAGCCTGGTTTGTGAAGGTGACTTAAGAAGCTGCCTGAGTTGACAATGGGACAAGTTGTCTCCATCTCTTCAGAGGTCCCTCTTTCATTCTTTGAATTTCAGCCTCAGAAAAACAGCTGCCTCGGGGGCTTTTGAAGACATTTCCACCTGGCGGTAAAGTCTTGCCTCCACCCGTTAAATCCTTGAAAAAGACTTTTTGTGTGGAGCTTCACAGCTCTGCTCTCCAGGGACTGGATTGTTCTTAGGGCCTCTTGTACCGCTGAGGGCCCTTTTGGAGCAGGCCAGCGAACTCAGGCCGACTCCCACGGCCTGCTCTCTGACCGTGTGAGACAAATCTATGTCCGTAGTTCAGTCTTGTTGTGAAGCTGAGGGTTAATTAGGATGTTCCTGGGCGGGAGCCATAGAGTTCAGCCCACTGGGGTGGGAGAGCGCGTCTTGGGAAAGCACTGTGGCTCGGGCTCTCGGCCTCTGCAGAAGCTCCTTTCAGCCGTCATGCCAGTGTCAGGCGTGCTTTGGCCCAGTACGGGCTGAGGGACACACAGGGGCACTTTTCATGCTCAGGCTTAAAGCATATTCCATTTGCATGAGGGGCTGCCACGACCGTGCTTGTGCCTGATAGACAGAAACAAAAAGCTTTTCTTCGCAGAACAGGAGTTGGCAAGAGGGACAAAAGTGGACACCTGTACAAAGTGAGAATGTGGTAGAAACGGAGTGGCCTTTGCCACACAGTAGAGGACCTGAGCTGAGGGGTATGCCTGGCACTCAGTCACTTCTGGTGCCGAGGAGGAGGTGCATCCCAAATCAGAATGTTCTGCATCCCAAATGTGGTACTCGTTAGAAAGCAGGAATGCCCAGCTCTGTCCTTCAGAACTGCTTTCGTTTTCTTGGTTTTCAAACTCGCAGGCCCATTGGAACTCCTCCAGTTTGATCATGGGCAGTCCAATCCAACCTACTACATCAGGCTCAGCAACCACCAGCTGGTTCTGAGGAGGAAACCCCCGGGGACACTCGTTCCATCCAGCCATGCAGTGGAGAGGGAGTTCAGGTAACTTCTCAGAGCTGGGGCACCCTCAACCCCCAGCCTCCGCAGCTCAGCCCCAAACTGACAAGTCCGTGCCCTGTCAGAGACCATGACACATTTAAATCTGCAAGTGTGAATTTCCAAAGTTATTTCCAATAAGAACATGTAACCTAATTTTATTCAGAAGTTTGTTTTCTCTTTTCTATACCTAAACCTCTAGAAAACCAGCCTTTTTTGGGAACCTCTGGGTGAAAAAAGGCATTTCGGAAATACTCATTAGTCTTACCCTTGAGTCTTAAAGACTTTAAGACCTTTAGTCTTATATTCAGTGGGGTTGAGGCCAAAACGAGTATGGCCACGAGGTGATAGTTGTTGAAACTGGGCGGTGGGCATGTGGGGTTTTTCATATGAACCTCTCTACGGAGGTATGTTTGAAATTTTCCATAATAAAATGTGTACAAGAATAAATGTATTACAACCCCTCCCGACCTCTTTGCAAATAGGAAAATTTAAACATAGTAGGTTGAAAAAAACCTAGCTCCAAACTCTTTGAGAATGAGATGAAAATTCTGGATGGGCTCCAGTGGGGGCGCCTACCGTCCTGGAAGCCTTTCTCTTCCTCTGCTCCCTTCTCCCTTCCAGCCCCGGATCCCCTGCAGAAGGAGTGTTGCAGAGTAGTAAGGGAAATATGATGTCATCTCTTGGCCCCTTCTTGTTCTCACTGTTTACTGTCTGTCCTTTGGACTTTTTAGTTCCTGGAATCTGACTTCTCCAAGTGTTGCAGGCACTGGTGACTGATGATTATGAAGCCTTAGGGGGTCATCAGAGGAGAAAACCTGTAGCTATTTCTGAGCATTTATATCTGTGCCCATGCAGGAGCAGGTCTGTATTTACAGGAAGGAAACCGTAGAAGTGTGAAGCCCCCCACTCTGTTCTTCTGCATCCTGCTTGTGAACGCTCTCTGATCATTCCCAGAGGCACTATGGAATTCTGGGGTGCTACAGTGACACTCCAAAAATCCAGGAATGCAGAGAATTTCCATTTTAGTAAAGGAATAAAATGTGCATTCGAAGATGAAATCTAATATGGTATCTGCTTGTAAAATGCCAAATGTAAATTTGAACAATTTGGGGAATTTTGGAAAATAGCATGACACACTTTATTAAAAACCTCAGAGTAGTCACACTTTTAGATCTAATAATTCCAGTTAGAGGAATCTTTCTTTAAAAAGTAATTCTCGGGGTGCCTGGGTGGCTCAGCCATTAGGTGTCTGCCTTCGGCTCGGGTCATGATCCCGGGGTCATGATCGAGCCCCTCATCGGGCTCCCTGCTCAGCAGGAGGCCTGCTTCTCCCTCTCCCACTCCCCCTGCTTGTGTTCCCTCTCTCGCTGTCTCTCTGTCAAATAAATAAATAAAATCTTTAAAAAAAAATTCTCAAATGGGAAAACAGCTTTATATATTAATACGGCCACCACAATGTTGTTTATAATAAAAAATTGGAAACACCCTAATGGTACAATAATCAGGAAGTGATTAAACCTTAGCATATCTACTTGTTGCAACAATGACAACAAAAGTAACAGCCGACATTTACTGAGTGTATAGTATGTGCCAGGCACTATAACAAATGCTTTGGATGCATTGTTAACCCAAAGCATTCTCACAACAACTCATGATATGTTACTGTTATGATCCCCATTTTACTGGAGAGGAAATCGAGGCTTAAAGACATTAAGCAACATCCCCCGGGATACACAACTAGCATGTGAGTGGCAGAGTTTGGCCTCACACCCTTGGGCAGTAGGATTCCACAGCCCAGCCTTAATGATTTGCTGTTACTGCAGCCAACAAAAGTACACTTAAATAACACAAAAATGTTAAAATTGTAATAAAGACAGATACAGACCACATATAGTACTATCCTAACTACATTTTGTATTTTTTTTAGTACTCCCTACACCCAACATGGGACTCAGACCCACAACCCCAAGATCACAAGTTGCACACTCCACCGACTGAGCTAGGAGGCTTCCCTATGTTTTGTTTTGTTTTGTTTTTTAAGATTTTATTTATTTGTTTGACAGAGAGACAGAGCACAAGCAGGGGGAGTGGCAGGCTGAGGGAGAAGCAGGCTCCTGGCTGAGCAGGGAGCCTGATGTGGGACTCGATCCCAGAACCCTGGGATCATGACCTGAGCCGAAGGCAGATGTCCAACCAACTGAGCCACCCAGGCTCCTCCCTTAACTATTTTTTTTTTTTTAAAGACTTCTGGGGGGGCGCCTGGGTGGCTCAGTTGGTTAAGCGACTGCCTTCGGCTCAGGTCATGATCCTGGAGTCCCGGGATCGAGTCCCACATCGGGCTCCCTGCTCGGCAGGGAGTCTGCTTCTCCCTCTGACCCTCTTCCCTCTCGTGCTCTCTGTCTCTCATTCTCTCTCTCTCAAATAAATAAATAAAATCTTAAAAAAAAAAAAAAAGGCTTCTGGGGGCGCCTGGGTGGCTCAGTCGTTAAGTGTCTGCCTTCGGCTTAGGTATGATCCCAGAGTCCTGGGATCGAGCCCCGTGTCGGGCTCCCTGTTCAGCAGGAATCCTGCTTCTCCCTCTCCCACTCCCCCTGCTTGTGTTCCCTCTCTCACTGTGTCTCTCTCTGTCAAATAAACAAATAAAATCTTTAAAAAAATAAGTAATTAAAATAAAATAAAAAGACTTCTGCACCGAAACAAAAATATTAGAAAGGAACACACCAAAATATTTACCATGTTGGGGTAGCATGTTACTGTTCTTCAGCTGCAAGTGACAGAAACCCACCTAGACTGACTGAAGTGTTTTGTTTTGTTTTTTAAAAGGAGAGGTAAAATGTATTGGCTTCATAATTTAAATCTTTCAGGCATGACTAGATCCAGGGGCCCAAATAATATTAGGACCCATTCATTCTCTTTCTCCCTCCATCTCTCCACTCCTTTTTCCTCTATAACCTTAGTGAATGTCCAGCATACCTCCTGAGATTGACTCACTGGGCCAATATGAACAATCGTCTGGGGTCAGGAGGATGCATTGTTCAGATTGGCCGAATCTGGGTCTTGTGCCCATCCTTGGAACCAGGGATTGGGTCAGTCCCACCCAAACCATGTGGACTGACAGTAGCTACAGAGAGCCGTTTCCCAAAGGAAAGCCCAGGGATTATTAGCAGAACATGAAGTAGGGAAAGGGACACCAGGCAGGCAAAAGCAGGAGCCAAATACTGGTGATATGACTGAGTAGTTACTTTTCTATTTAAAACATTTAAAAATTTCCTCCTTGGGGGCGCCTTGGGTGACTCAGTCAGTTAAGCATCTGACTCTTGATTTCTGCTCAGGTCATGATCTCAGGGTCATGAGATGGAGCCCCAAGTCAGGCTCCACGTTCAGCACGGAGTCTGCTTGGGATTCTTTCTGTCTCTCTCCCTCTGCCCCTTTCCCTGCTCTCTCTCATGCATGCTCTCTCTCAAATTAAAAAAATAAAATTTTAAAAAAGAAAAAAAAAAGAATGTCTCCTGTGGATAGCATATAGTTAGGTCTTGCTTTTCTATGCAGTATGACAATCTCTATCTCAATTAAAATGTTTAGTCTAATTAATGTAATGTAACTACTGATGTTTGAATTAGTTCTATAATTTTGCCATTTGTTTTTTGTTTTTCCCATCTGTTTTTTGTTTTTCTTGCCTATTTCGGGGTCAGTTGGATATTTTTTAGAATTCTGTTTTAATTTCTGCAAGTACTGATTTTAATTCAGAAAAATAGTTTCAAGAAAATCTCATCAATTCAGCCAGCATTGTTGCTCATTTCTCTTTGTTCCGGCAGGATAATGAAAGCCCTTGCCAATGCTGGAGTGCCTGTCCCCAAAGTTCTTGGCCTCTGTGAAGATTCAGGGTAATGTTCAGATTTATTTCTTTCATTACATATTCAAACTACAGAAGAGAAACGCCCATATAGTAGCTCAAATCCCAGTTTGTTAAAGTGAAGACAAATAAAATTTGGGTGAGAGAGAACAGAGATTTTATAGCAACCTCCCCTGGAAGTTCACAGAACTTTAAGTTATCCTGAAAGATAAAGAAATGCCTGCTTTTGTGAAAATTGGTAGAAAACATTTTTTTATCTTTTAAAAAATTTATATCCATCTAGTTTCATGTTGCTTGTTTTTGTTAATTTTTTATTGCGGTCCTTTTTTTTTTTAAGATTTTATTTATTTATTTGACAGAGAGAGCCAGCGAGAGAGAGAACACAAGCAGGGGGAGTGGGAGAGGCAGAAGCAGGCTTCCTGGAACCATGATCTGAGCCAAAGGCAGACACTTAATGACTGAGCCACCCAGGCGCCCCAGGATAAACAGTTTTAATGGTAGCCTTTTTAAAACAACTTTTTAGAACAGGAAACTGGTTTCTAGTAATGACTAAAGAATGGATTAATGACATTTTGGTGTGTCACCTTAATATTACAGGGTGGTATATGTGTCACTCACACTACCAGATAATGATAGAAATAACATCAATAAGAAGAAGGGATATTTATTGAAGCCTCATTGGAACCAGGCAGTCCATGTATATTTGCTCCCCTAATTCTTACAACATCCCTTTGAAGTTTTACAGATTAAAACAACAAAGCCCAGAGAGGGTTAGTAAGTCTCTCATGATCACACTGCTGGGAAGGGGCAGAGATGGGATTTAAACCTGGTTCTGTATGGCTCCGAAGTCCCCCTCTCAACATGCTGCTTTCCTCCATTATCACACTTAATCTCCATTCCCGTGGCTTCCACGAGTGGACCAAACAGAAGAGAAACATGCTGGCAAAAACGTATAGACAGGGCTGTGTGTGTGGATTGGTTTGGGGATGGGGTACTTCTAACCCTCTGTGCTGATGTATGAAGGAAAGGAAATGTCCAGCACTCTGGGTCTGAACTCCTTCCCCAGCACTTGGAGCAAACACATAGAAAGAGCAATGCTGGGGCACCTGAGTGGCCCAGTCTGTTGAGCGGCTGGCTCTTTGCAGCTCAGGTCATGATCTCAGGGTCCTGGGATTGAGCCCCACGTTGGGCTCCACACTCAGTGAGGAGTCTGCTTGAGGATTCTCTCTCTCTCTCTCTCCCTCTGCCCCTCCTCCTTCTCTCTCATGTGCACACGCTCTCTAAAATAAATAATCTTAAAAAAAAAAAAGCAATGCCATAACTAACAGCCTGCCATATTATGAGCTGGACCACTGAAACCCCCTGTCTGTGTCCTTCCCAGGGTCATTGGCACTCCCTTCTATGTGATGGAATACTGCCCAGGCCTCATCTACAGAGACCCCTTTCTGCCAGGCTTGGAGCCCAGCCAGAGGCGGGCCATATACACTGCCATGAACAGAGTCTTGTGCAAAATTCACAGTGTGGACCTCAAGGCTGCAGGCCTAGAAGACTATGGGAAACACGGTGAGCAAGAGGCCATTTGTCTTTTGTGCTGATGAGTTCCTCATTGGTGCCCCTGTTTTCAGGATTTGCATCATGGCAGGGTGTTAATGCACCTAGCGTTTGCTAAATGTGAGGTGGGCTTCTTAGCCCCCTACTTGGAAATCTAGTTTCATTTTAATGGAGGTATCATTTACCTAGATATATTATCCTTGGATATGTCCCTTCACAGCCTACAGAATCTCTCTTCCCTGCAACTTTGATCTTGCTGGACCATTTCAGTCTTTATTTTTTCTGGTACTGGCCAAGAGTATTTAAGATACCTTCTTCTGTTTTTTACTCTTTCCCCTAAATATTCTTTCAACAGGGGATAGACTTTTAAAATGCCATTATGCCAAGGTATTTTGTTTGTAGAGTTTTGTTTCTGCTTGTTTTTTTACTGAGAGTTCCAGTTGTTCTTCATCCTCATTGTTAGTGTCAGTTCTTTCTTTCTTTCTTTCTTTCTTTCTTTCTTTCTTTCTTTCTTTCTTTCTTTCTTTCTTTCTTTCTTTCTTTCTTTCTTCCTTCCTTCCTTCCTTCCTTCCTTCCTTCCTTCCTTCCTTCCTTCCTTCCTTCCTTCCTTCCTTTCTTTCTTTCTTTCTTTCTCTTTCTTTCTTTCTTTCTAAGTCAGGTGTACTGAAGTGTAGCAGTCTATAAATGTGACAGACACACACAATTTTAAAACCACAGTCACCAGTTGTCTCCATGCACAAACTTTAGCATGAGCCAAAGAATTTAACTTTTTCTGCCCTGCAAAGCTCAAGAGTATTTGACTCTTGACCAGTATGTATTCTTGGCTATAGTCAAAAAGAATCCCCCAGCTAAGCTGTGTTTTTTTTTCTCTGCTTTTAACCAAAATGTGTTTTCCGTAGGACCACATCAGAGGCTGTAGTATGTCTCCTGTGTACATCACCTTCCTGCCATTTCTGCCAAGTCACCTAAAGCCCCACCTCTCCACAGGCACATTAGCTGAGTCCCCACAAGTAATCAGTTTGAAACACTTTGCTACCACAGAGAAAGCTTGCTGACTTCCCAGCCCAAACTGAGGGGGTTCTCCCCATCCCTTTAAGTACAGCCAGATCCATGCCATCCCCCCCTCCATATTCTAACCTGTTGACTAGAGATACCAACTCTAGTAGTAACCTCCACCTCATTTGGAAATAAAAACTTATTTGTTGTTTATCTGAAATTCACATTTAACTGGGTATCCTGTATTTTATCTGGCAGACCTAGTCACCAGTAAAAAGGCCAGTAGGCAAAGACAACACATGTTGTCCATATTGATCCATTGTTTCAAGATGGAAAGAGCACTGGAGCAGAAGTTGGATGCTAATTTGTCAGGGACCTTGGGCAAGTCACCTTACTTTGTCATCGTTTTCTCAATAGTAAAGGTTGGGTTAAAAAAACTGTCCTTTGCTGCCATGGCTACCCCAGTGCTTTGAATGAAGATGAAGCCTCAGGCAGATGCAGTGATGGGCAGTGTGACATCCTGTCCTGGAGAGACAACAGCTTATGGAAGTCCCTCCCATGTGCTGTCTGAGTGGATCCTTTGCCTTTTATTTTTAAAGTAGACTGTTTTGATGCTCTTTCCACTGACCTCTTAGGACAAAGAGGCAGAGCAGAAATCTGATGTGATTTCATGTGACCCAAGGGCCACTGGCCGTGTTTTGAGCCTAATAGCATACAGCAGCTTCATCATGCTTCACGTTCACTGATCCAGCTACAGAGGCATCAGATCTTCCTTTTCAAGAAACCTGCAATTTCCCTGGTGGTGTCAGGAATCCAGCTGCTGGGCAGGGCATTGGCTATAAATAGCTACTACCTTTGTGCAAAGGGTGGCATATTTAAATAAATTTACATATTCAGATACATTTAAATATTTGCTTGCACAAGTGAATATCTCCAAGAAACTGGTCACATGGGTTGCCTTTGGGTAAGAAGAGCTGAGTGGCTGGGCAGAGGGTGGGAGAAAGACTACTGTACATCCTTCTGTCACTTTATGCCAAGCCATGGGAATGTATTATCTATTCAAGAGTACACATTTACATTTATTAAAAAAAAAGAGAGAGACTGCACACAAACATGATTTCTAATTAAGAGGGACTTTTGACAAAGATCCTTTAGGTACAGTCCAGTTACCATAAAGAACCTTTCTACCACCAATGACCTGCAGGGAGCACATAATCCTCTTTTCTTATCCCAGAGGGGCAGTCTGCTGGAGGAAGGATGTTTCGGTGCCTTGGTGGGCCTGATAAGAGGAGACCAGTGGCCAACAGAGCCAGAGACACAGGGGCAGCTGTGTCTGTTTCCCGTGAGAAAGGAATGTGTGCAGCGCTAGTTGGTGTGTTCGGGGTGGAAGGTCCCAAATCCATATAGATTTTCCTGAAAGGCTCCTTTCCCAAAGGCTCAACTCCTGTGTATGGTTGTTTTTTTTTTAAAGATTTCTTTATTTTGACAGAGAGAGAGAGAGTGTGCATGTGTGCATGTGAGCTGGGGGAGGGGCAGAGGGAGACAGAATCCTTAAGCGGACTCCTCACTGACCGTGGATCTCCAGGCAAGGCTCGATCCCACGACCCTGAGATCATGACCTAAGTCAAAACCAGGAGTCATACATTTAACCAACTGAGCCACCCAGGCTCCCTGGCTCAGCTCCTGTGGTTTTTGGATTTGACTTACTATTATAATAATTCTCAAACTTACAGAAATGTGAAATAGTACAATGAATAACCATATATGCCCACTACTATATGGTTAACTTTTGCCATATTCGCTTCTCTCTTTCCCTCTCCCTCTGTTTCTCTCTCTCTTTAAATATATATATGTGTTTAAATATATAATAATATATATATGTATTTAACAATAATATATATTTAACAAAGTTGTAGAGACCCTAACACTTGACTCCTAAATACTTCAGTAGGCACTTCCTAAAAATAAGGACATTCCCCCATACCATTATTGCATCCAAGAAAATTTACAATTTTCTCTGAATATCTAAAACCCAGTCCATATTCAGATCCATTTCATCAGTTATCCTGTTATATCTTTTTAAAAAAAGATTTATTTATTTATTTTAGAGAGAGAGAGTGAGAGAGAGTGGTGGGGAGGGGCAGAGGGAGAGAATCTCAAGTAGACTCCACGCTGAGCGTGGAGCCTGATGTGGGGCTTAATCTCAGGATCCTGAGATCATGACCTGAGCCAAAATCAAGAGTCAGATGCTTAACTGACTGAGCCACCCAGGTGCCCCTCCCCTTATATCTTTTATAAATGAATTTTTTCCCCCGATAAATCAGGATCTGATCAATGAATCTAGAACAGTCCCTGCACGACCTGTTTTTTTCAATGAATTTTTTAACAGACCAAGTCAGTTGTTTGTATATTTGTCTTGATTATTTCCTATGGTTTCATTTACTTCTGTCTTCTGTTTCCTATAATTCTGAAAACTAGAAATTACGTCTAAAGGCTTGATTTGTTTTGGATTACATTCCTGTGGACTTTGACCTCCACTTCTCATGGCCCAACTAGATCTTGCAAAGGACAGGTGTCTAGACATTCTAGCTGTGCAGTGGACTCCACAGAAGGAGCTTGATCTCTCTAATCTTGTCTTCAAACCCTTCAGCCTCTGGGGCCCATTTTTCTCTCAGCTGAGGGATGGAGGCTTGGCTTAGAGCCAGGGAGCTGACACGTTTATTAATTATATTAACAGTGACAATAATTGTCAGTTGACAATAATCAGGACATAATGGCCGCCATTCATTGAGCGGCTGTCTGTGCAGCTCAGTATTTGGCCTGTTACGTATGGATTTTGGTTAGCCTTCACAACAGTCCTATGGAATTTAGGTGTCAGTACATTCATACAAAAGAAGCAAGGGAGGCTCGGAGAGGTTAAATCAACTGAAGACCCTGGCTGAGCTGAGTTGACTTCAGAACTTCTTCCAGTGTCCCGTCCCAGATATAACTCAAAAGTTTCTCAATCGTGGTATCTCTTGGGTTTCTTAGCAAACAACTGAATAATGATACAAATGCTCATGTAGTACTTACTACATGCCAGGAACATCTCCAGGGGCTTTACATATTTTATCCTCCCAACAACTCTCTGAGGAGCATCTCATTGATGAAGAAAAACCGAGGTACAGAGATGTTAAGTGACCTGTCAGAGATCACAAAGATAGAGAATGGCAGAACTGGGAATCACACCCAGGCAGTTTGGTCCCAGAGTCCATGCGTTTAGCCAACCACTGTTGTTCAGCCAAAACGGGATTTCTTAAAGGCTGCTAGGAAGCTTGTAGGAAGTCTGAGAGGGCCAGGGATCAGGTTTTCGGGCCTTGTGGCTGGGAACAACACCCGCATCACACTGATCCAGCCATGGTGGCGGGAGCATCCTGTGAGAAACTCATAGGTCATCAGAAGAGCATTATCAGGGCTTTCACTGTTTTGGTTACTTTTCTGGAACCTTTGGAGGATGTTAGAGTGGCATACCTGTTTGAATTCTCTTTCCCTCAGGGGACTATATTCCACGGCAGGTGCAAACCTGGATTCAGCAGTATCGAGCCTCAGAAACCAGCACCATCCCCGCGATGGAGAGGCTTATCCAGTGGCTGCCCCACCATCTTCCCAGGCGACAGAATACGACGGTGGTGCATGGGGACTTCAGGTAGGCACGACTATGAGGAGGGGTGAATATCTAGATGTGAAAAATGATGGCCAGGGCAGTTGAAGAGGAAATTAAGCAGCTGGCCTGAGCCCAATTTACAGTTGAGGAGGATTCCCTTTACAAAGGATCTACGTGTGCATGACCTTCTAAGGCAGGGTCTCTCCACCTTGGCCTGTTGACATTTGGGGCCAGATAATTCGTTATGACTGGGGGCTGTCCTATTGCCCCCAGGTCTGAAAGTGCACACAGGTGCTCCAGCTACTATGACCACATAAAAATCTCCCAAATCACACGGCTGCAAACGACGACAGAAGTTGTTCTGCTCATGAATCTGCGGTCTGGGGACAGGATCCCCTGTTTCAGCTGGGGTGGCTGTCAGGCTGGGCACTGGGATCTCCTGGAGGGTTGCTCCTGTGCCTGGCCCTGGGGCAGAGAAGACTGAACAGCTGGGCTCCTTGGGCCTCTCTCTGTCTCTTTGTGGTCCCCACATGGTCTCTCCAGCATAGCAGCTTCTGGGTGTCTGGACTGCTTCCCTGGGGGCTCAGAGCTGCAAAGGTATGTGTTCCAAGAGAGCGCTGTTTGGGAGCTGATGCCCTTTTCTGAGCGAGGCTCTGGAGTCACTTAGCATCACTTCCACCTGTGTTATAATTGTTAGAAGCCAACTGCTTCAAGCAGCAAAGACTTAGACTCTCCTTTTGTGGAAGGAGTGTCCAAGAGCTTGCAGACCTGTTTTAAACCCATCACAGGGAAGGAGGGATTACCAGAACCCAGAGAGGATCGCTATGTGGAGAGGGCTGGCTCCCTGACCAAAACTGGCCCCTGGGAGAGCAATACAGCGTCCCTCAGCCATCTGCCCCCTTCCCCGTCTCCTGCTGGTGTCCTCATTGGCTGAGCCCACTGGAGCCAGAGGGCAGGGGAGCTCGTGGACAGGGGCACCGAGGGGCTAAGAGGGTGCGGAGTGCATTTGGAGGGGCAAAGGGAAGACACCCAGCACAGAACACGCCCCAGTGCTCAGTTTTCCTTAGAGCTGTCTCTTCATTCTTTCTGTGGCTTATTCAGGTTGGACAACCTGCTGTTCCATCCAGAGAAGGCTGAGGTACTTGCTGTCCTTGACTGGGAGCTCTCTACCTTAGGTGACCCCCTTGCGGACGTGGCCTTCAGCTGCCTGGCTCACTACCTGCCATCCAGTGTTCCCGGTTCCCTGCTGCGAGGTAGGAACTGCTCAGGGGCAAGAGGAGGGAACGAGGCAGCTCCATTCTCAAAACACCCGAGGCACAAAGGTAGCAGTGATGGCTGTTGGTGTGGGCGCATGAAATTGAGGTCCTGGTGGTTTGGGTGGAAAATGTACTTGGAGTGCATTCCTGTCAGTGCGGGGAGATGGTAGGGTGTATTTTAAGTGAGAAGGATGTGTGCACAGACCCCTCTTATGTTTTTACACAACTAATTTCTATTTAATTTTCTAAATTAAAAATACAAGTTTATTTTAAAATGTTGGAGCCAACAGATAACAAAAGGAAAAGTTAAAGTCGTGGATAGACCCAGACATAACCATTGCCAACATTTTCATCTTTCTGTGTGCGTACATTTGTTTAAATGAAAATGCGATTCTATGATTTTGTGGCCTGCCTTTTCTCAATTATGTAATTTGGACATGCTTTCATGCCATTAAGTATTTTATCTACAGCATCATTTTTAATCATGGAATAGGATTTTAGTGAATAGAATTAACTTAAGACATTTGATTATATTTGGATATTTAATTTGTTTCTGATTTCTTTTATATTACTTCCCCCAACCCTCACAAAAAAGGCAGTGAACATCTTTGTAGGAATAACTTCGCCTATATTATAAGGTATACTCCTGGACAAAGTCCTAGGAACAAAATGTGTTACATGCTTCTAAGCCATGAGAAGGTTACAAATGAAGCAAATCAGTAAAAATGTTTATTTGTTGTAATTATTTTTTTCATAATTTGGCAGGATCTTTTTTTTTTTAAAGTAGGCTCCACGCCCAGCATGGAGCCCAGTGTGGGTCTTGAACTCATGACCCTGAGGTCAAGACCTAAGCTGAGATCAAGAGTTGGATGCTTAACCAACTGAGCCATCCAGGTGCCCCAGGATCAGGATTTTACTTTCAGTACCATTTTTTATCAAATGGCTGATGGAAAATAATATGCATCCACCCTGAACTATAGTCCAGATGGAAATGGAGGCCTCTTATTCCTTCCTTTACTGCCAATTTATTTTTTTTTAAAGATTTTATTTATTCATGAGAGAGAGAGAGAGCAAGAGAACATGAGCAAGGGGGGAGGGGCAGAGGGAGAGGGAGAAGCAGACGCCCCGCTGAGCAGGGAGCCCACGCGGGACTCAATCCCAGGATGCTGGGATCATGACCTGAGCTGAAGGCAGACGCTTAACCAACTGAGCCACCCAGGCACCCTGCCTTTACTGCCAATTTGTAGTCTGTAACTTTTGAGGGCCAATTTGTGAATAGCTTCAAGCCGGGATCCCAGCCTTATGAGGGCAGAAGAGCTGCTGAAATAAGGAGTTGAGCCTGTGAACTAGCTGTGAAGCTCATTGCCAAGGGAGGAAATGATTTTCATAATTTAGATCCCTGTGGCCACAGGGGGGTGGGGAGGTCAGTGACTGCCCGCCCAAAGATGGCTCTGTCTGTCGCCTCAGGTTTGCGTGACTGTGATTTCACTCAGCTGGGCATCCCTACCGCAGAGGAGTATTTCAGGATGTACTGCCATCACTCGGAGATCCCTCCCCCTGAGGACTGGAACTTTTACATGGCTTTCTCCTTTTTCCGCATGGCTGCAACCCTGCAAGGAGTCTACAAGCGCTCACTCCCAGGTAATGCTGCCTCAGGGTCGGAATCACAGCCACGTGGCTTCTCCCCCTAGGAACCCTCCTGTGGTCACAGAGGCTTTGGAGGGACCAGTTTGCCAGAATTCTACAAGATTCAGTTAATTCAACCATCTGTCATTAATGGCACATATATATATTCTTTAAAACATTTAAACTTTTAAAAGTTATTTTTAAGAGTTATTTATTCATTAGAGAGAGCGAGCGAGCATGTGCAAGTGGAGGGAAGGGCAGAGGGAGAGAGAGAATCTCAAGCAGAATCCCCACTGAGCACAGAGCCCAACTTGAGGCTCAAGCTCACGACCCATGAGATCATGACCTGAACCTAAATCACAAGTCAGAAGCTCAACCGACAGAGCCACCCACATGCCCAAACTTTTAAAAAAGTATTAACATAACATACAAAAAAATTAAAGTAAAAACCTACATAAGAATTAAATCATAAAGAAGAATACAAAATTATTTTCCTGTCTTCTCAGTATCATTTCTTAAAGATAAATACTATCGTTAATGGGCCCCCCATTTTTTTCTGTGTATCTATCTTATCTCTAAGGTTTTTTTAAAGATTTTATGTATGTATGTATGTATGTATGTATGTATTTATTTATTTATTTGCCAGGGAGAGAGAGAGCACAAGCAGGGGGAGCAGGAGAGGGAGAAGAGGGAGAAGCAGGCTCCCGTCACAGCAAGGAGCCTGATGCTGGGCTCCATCTCAGGACTGTGGGATCATGCATGACCTGAGCCAAAGGCAGATGCTTAACCAACTGAGCCACCCAGGCGTCCCTCTCTCTCTCTAAGTTTTACAAAAATGTGATCAGCCTACATGCATTTTTTGTACCTTGATTTAAAAATTTTTTATGCTTAAGAATTCCTATGAAATATTTGTGTATGTATACATATAGGATATGATGTGTGTACGTATAGGATATACACATATATATGATTATCATATATATACTTTACAACAATATAAGATACATTCCTTGGTTTTTTTGGACTTAACAATATTTCATAGAGACCTTTCCACATGAGTATGTGCAGATATCCACCATTCTTTTTGATTTCTATAGTATGTTCCATTGTATGGATGTAGCGTAATTTATTTAACCCATTCTCCTAATGACGTATTTTTGGATTGTTTGCACATTTTTGCAATCACAAATGGTGGTTGGTGAACATCCTTTTTCATACGTGTGAATATACCTGAAGGATAAATTCCCAGAATTAGAATTGCTAAGTTAAACCATGTACATTTAAAAATTTTGTAATGTCGCCAAATTGCCCAGTAAGAGGATTGCTGAAGGAGAAAAAAGATTATGTTTTCTTAGATGGTGCTTCTCCATACATGGGAAAATGCTTTATTGAACTAGCTGGGAGTTAGTTCTACATTATATCTTGTTCATCTGAACTTCTGGGAAGAAAAGTTAAGTGTCAACAGTGAGTCGGATATGTATATATAAATGAACGTTATCACCTACAGAGTGTTTACATATATATATACACACACACATATGTATATATATGAGAGTATGGCACAATCTTACTGGTTTTAATTCTAGATCTTATAGGATAGCAAATGAAATAATCTCTCTCCTAAATCAGTTAAGAAGATAGAAGGCAGGGGCGCCTGGGTGGCTCAGTCCGTTAAGCGGCTGCTTTCGGCTCAGGTCATGATCCTGGGGTCTTGGGATCGAGCCCCACATCCGGCTCCCTGCTCAGCGGAGAGCCTGTTTCTCCCTCTCCATCTGCCTGTCACTCTGCCTACTTGTGCTCTCTCTCTGTCAAATAAATAAATAAAATCTTTAAAAAAAAAAAAAAAAAAGAAGATAGAAGGCAGATTACAGTTTGCTTCCTATGTAGAAAGGAAGACGGGCAGAAAGAAAGCACATAGAACCTGCCAGAAAGTCCTAGAAATGGTGGCTATCCTAGTAGCATTATGTACTCCCAGTTTTCCCCGTGTCATAATCTCTAAATTCCATTCCCACCAAAAGGAACTGGGACTTCTTAGAGAAGTGACTGTGTTCAGGTCAAGGGCAGGACGTCTGCAGGTGAGCCTGGAGCACCTTGTCATACCAGTAAGCGAGGGAGCTGTGGAAGACGACTGGGGTCACATCTACTGCACCCAGGAGTCAGCCTGAACAGGCCCCCACGTGCTAACAACAGGATACATTGAGCACCAGTAAGGATGAAGAGAAATGGATGGGAACCCATCAAGTGTGTTTACATCCATGAGTAAAAGCAACACTAAAACAGAGTCAAAATCTCATTGGTGGCTTTGGAGGACACCAGGGAACCAACCCATTATTCTAAAAATTGATAAATAAAGGAGAAAAAAAATCAAGGATTTATCCTGCCTTTCGTATACAAGTTCTAGGTCAGGCTAACCAAGTAACTGATGGGAGAAAGCTTCTCTCTAGGGAAGCATCCCACACAGAATGACAGAATTAACAGATCACCAATTATCCACCCCTAATACATTAATGGATCTGGAAAATAAGTATCAATGGTGCTAACATCAGCAAGAGAGAGACGGCCAGACATTACGTACCTCCCGGTGCTTCTCCCAAAAGTCAGACCTGGATCTGACCGAGTCTGTAGTGCTAACTACCACGTCACAGGAAACAGGGTTCAGAGGAGTATGTTAAACATGACCCCTGGGGCACAGCCGCTCACCAAGTCCAGATTCGGGGATACTTCACAGATTCTTCAACAAATGAATGTCAGGGGGGAAGAGAAAAGATGAAAATGGAACCTGCAGATCAAAAGGGACTTAAGGGGCACCTGGGTGGCTCAGTCGGTTGAGTGTCCAGCATCTGACTCTTGGTTTCAGCTCAGGTCATGATCTCAGGGTCCTGAGATCAAGTACCAAGTACCACATAGGGCTCCACGCCCAGGGGGAAGTCTGCCTCAGATTCTCTTTCTCCCTGTCCCTCTGCTCCTCCTTCCTGGCGCTCTTGCTCTCTCTCTCTCTCCCCGTAAAAATAAATAAATAAATAAATAAATAAATAAATAAATAAATAAATAAATAAATAAATAAAAATAAAATAAATAAATACATACATACATACATACAATCTTAAAAAAGGGGGTGGATTTAAAAGACACATCAGCCATTATAGCATTTGAATCTTTAGATCCCTATTTGAAAAAACATTATAAAAAAATTTTTTTATGAGAGGCGCCTGGGTGGCTCAGATGGTTAAGCGTCTGCCTTCGGCTCAGGTCATGATCCCAGGGGCCTGGGATCGAGCCCCGCATCGGGCTCCCTGCTTGGCGGGGAGCCTGCTTCTCCCTCTCCCTCTACTGTTCCCCCTGCTTGTGCTCTCTTGTTCTCTGTCAAATAAATAAAATCTTCAAAAAAAAAATTTTTTTTATGAGATAGTGAAATTTGAATTCTAGCTGGACAGTTGATGACATCAAGGAGGCATAGTTTTTTGGTTTTTTTTTTTTAAGATTTTGTTTATTTATTTGACAGAGAGAGACACAGCGAGAGAGGGAACACAAGCAGGGGGAGCATGAGAGGGAGAAGCAGGCTTCCCGCAGAGCAGGGAGCCCAACGTGGGGCTCGATTCCAAGACCCCGGGATCATGACCTGAGCTGAAGGCAGACGCTTAACGACTGAGCCACCCAGGCGCCCCTCAAGGAGGCACAGTTAACTTTTTTAAGCGTGATGATGGTGTTGTGTGTTTTTAAGTCTTTGTTATGAGACATAAATGAAGTATGCATAAATTTACATCTAGGATGTGATGTTTGGGATTTACTTCAGAAAAACCCAGGGCAGCGAGGGTGGGGATGACAGAGAATGAAACAAGATTGGCCATGCTCTGATGATGGTGGAAGCTGAGTGATAGACACTTGCAGATTCATTATACTCTTTGCTCCATTTGTGTGTATCTTTGAAATTCTCCAAAATGAAATGTGGTTAGAAAGAAACCCAGCAGTAGGTTTGCTAGTACTGCAGGATCGTCTTAGCTTTGAGGTCGTCAACACCCCAAGCCTGGCGGCAGCATGTGGACCTCAGCCAGGTTCCCATATTCTAACGAGAACGGCAGTTGCAGTCGGGGAATTGATCATTCATTCACTAGTATCTGAACCTCTACTAAGCCAGGTACTGCGCCGGGTGATACTAGCAAAATACAAAGTTGTGAGCAAAACAGTGTCCAGAGAAAAATCAGCATCCAGAGGATTTCCAGTTTAACCTTCCCTGATCTGCTAATAGAGGTCTCAATAAGCAGGAATTCTTGGAAACCGTATTTTCCCTTCCCCCAGGCAGCATTAGCTCTAACTACCCTTTCCTAATTTGTGTTAGGGCTTTGCAATGAAAGCTAACCAGAAATATTTAATTAAGCGGAGGGCTGCTGGGTCCATGAGGTGCCAAACAGGCCTGACTATCTGTAGACATTTTCTAGGGGACCACTGTGTTCTCACTGGATCCTGCTTCCGTGCCTGGGGATAGGCTGAGTAGATTCTGAATTACCCATTCTGGAATCTCTACACCCATAAACTGCATTGGATTGTGCCCAATTGGCTATCAAGACACCACTTGACAGTTTCAAGAACCTGTGTGCCCCGCGAGTGGCTTCATGCTCCTCTTGTGCTCCGTCCTCAGTGAGCATGTGGCTCCAGGAAGGGGGCTGTCTGGTTCCCGACTGTCCCCCCGCCCCCGGGGCCCGGCTCCGTACCTGGCACTGAGCAGGTGCAGAGTAAAGACTTGTCCAGTGGCCTGCATTCCCTGCTATGTAGCAGATGGATCTGGTTCCTCATTTGTAAGGAATAGCATAGTATCTTTAACACCAAACTTGCGTGAAAATGGCTCTCGTGGGAAACTGACCACAGCAGGGGCCAGGAGAAAAGCAGGCCTCCACAAAGATCCATTTATTGATACAAAGAGAATGAGGAAAACACAGTCTCTTTAGAATGTGGAAAGGTGGGATGCCTGGGTGGCTCAGTCGTTAAGCGTCTCTCTTGGGCTCAGGTCATGATCTCAGGGTCCTGGGATCGAGCTCCGCATCGGGCTCCCTGCTCGGCGGGAAGCCTGCTTCTCCCTCTCCCACTCCCCCTGCTTGTGTTCCCTTTCTCACTGTCTCTCTGTCAAATACATAAATATAATCTTTAAAAAAAAAATATTTAGAATGTGGAAAGGCTAAAAATAACCTAGGAGAGCTGGTTGTAAAGAAGCTCACGATACGCACGCCTGGGTGGCTCAGTCGGTTAAGCGACTGCCTTCAGCTCAGGTCATGATCCTGGAGTCCCGGGATCAAGTCCCGCATCAGGCTCCCTGCTCAGCAGGGAGTCTGCTTCTCCCTCTGACCCTCCCCCCTCTCATGCTCGCTCTATCTCATTCTCTCTCTCTCAAATAAATAAAATCTTTAAAAAAAAAAAAAAGCTCACGATAAGGACACAATACACACACTTCGTGGGTGGATGTCAGATGCAGTCCACCAAATCCAAAAAGCCGCGCTGAAAGACTACACGCCCTATGATGTATATACTACTGTGACATTCCAGGAAAGACCAACTACAGAAATAGAGATCCAAAAAAAGATTAAAAAAAAAAAAAAAGAAATAGATTAGTGTTGCCAGAGGCTGGGGCAAAGGATTGAGTACAAAGGGACACCATGGAAATTTGGGGATGATGGGCATATTTTGTATGTTGATGACAGTGCTGGTTACCTGACAAAACTCAGAATTGTAAACTTTTATAAAGAGGGTGTATATACACCATACCTCAATTTTTAAAAAATGTACATTAAGGGGCACCTGGGTGGCTCAGTCAGTTAGGTGCCCGACTCTTGGTTTCAGCTCAGGTCATGATCTCAGGGTTGTGGAATGGAGCCCCGTGTGGACTCCCTGCTCAGCGGGGAGTCTGCTTCCCCTCTCCCTCTGTCTCCCCTCCCCTTGCACGCATGCATGTGCTAGAATACGCGCACACTTGCTCTTTTTCTCTGAAATAAATAAATCTTAAAAAATTTTTACATTAAAAAAATCCTTCTCCAAAAATGTCTTGATGCATGTATTTAAAAAAGAAGGGAGCAGTGATCTGTGCAGAGCGGGGTCCAGAGACCAGCCACTAATCTGGTCCCCAGTGACCCTGTAACAGTTTTGCAGCAGGGACAGTTTAGGGTAGTGCAGGGCTCTCAATAGCCCACCGGTGACAGCAGAAGCGACCGGGGGTCTTCCTGATTTCATTAGTTTCTTTAGAGGGGAGGAGCAGGGAGCAGTCCAGCTGAGCTTGACTCCTGGCTCCCAGCCCACTGACGGAAGCGTGGGCACGCCTCCTCTCTAAGACCCAGATCCTGGCGCCTGGGTGGCTCAGTTGGTTAAGCGACTGCCTTCGGCTCAGGTCATGATCCTGGAGTCCCGGGATCGAGTCCCGCGTCAGGCTCCCTGCTCAGCAGGGAGTCTGCTTTTCCCTCTGACCCTCCCCCCTCTCATGCTCGCTCTATCTCATTCTCTCTCTCAAATAAATAAATAAAATCTTTAAAAATAAATAAATAAATAAGACCCAGATCCTTTTCCGAAAGTGGGGAATAAAACCATCATCGTGCTTCAGGAATTCAGTGAGCTATAATCATACACGCAGAGCACTTAGCACCGTGTCTGGAACGTGGCAAGCGCTCAGCAAATGATAGTCGCTGCTAATAGCATTATTAGGAAGGGTTGTTTGGGAGTAATCACTGTTTTTCTTTGCTTCTGCTTAGGGCAAGCAAGTTTGGCAGCCCCCGAACAAAATGCAAAGCTGACTGAATATATGTCCAACCTGGCCTGGGATTTTGCAGTCAAAGAAGGGTTCCGGGTTTTCAAAGAGATGCCAGCCACAAAACCACTAGTGAGGTCCTGCCACACTCAGCCTGGTCACAGCCCCTGCTGAGCACCCCCGGCGCGAGCAGTTACATCGTCTTCGCAGACTCTTCCCCAGCTCAGGCCTCAAAGGGAGCTCTGGTTATCTGTCCAGAGGGCCTTTCCCCACCACTCAGGGGGCTGTATCTGTGACTGCAGCACCCCTCTGAGTCAGAGCTGTGGACTCACCAAGCCTCAGTGGGGACGCACCCCTTCCCTGCCGATGGAACACCTCAACGGAGAGTCGGTAAGATGTCATCGACACGGCAGAACCTCAGCTCACTGACTGGACACATCTGTTCCCCTCGGAGGCAGGGAAGAGATGGGAGGGCCGAGGTGAATTATCTTTGCTTTCCATCACTGTCGGGAAGAGCCAGCTCTAAGATGCCTCAGTTTGCACTTCATGGCTCTTTCTGTGAGACCGCGTCCTTGCCGGGTAACTCAGCCCCGGCCGAGGACCTGCCGCGTCTGTGGTTCGTGCCCCTGGAACACCTGGGCTCGTTATTTTATGCATATTTGTATTATGTAAACTTGAAGCCGTGTGAAATAAAATGCATCAGTTCATAAAGTCTCTCTTTGAAGAATCCGTAATGTCAAAGCCAGAGGGCTAGAGCCCACTGCCAACTGTTGACAGACAGGGACACCTTCTGGAAATTCCTTCTGTTCTTTGTCAGGAGGAGTCTTGGCTTGTGTGAGTTTTTAAGTTATTTGAGATCTTCAGGAGGAGCACACATTTTGCCTATGATGCAGCTACCACCTACTTTTTAATAAAATGGCATTATCACTTTTTTTCTGGTTACAAGCCGATTGCAAAATAACCAAAGCTCAAACATGACAAGAGTATAAAAAAGAGTTCATGACATAGAAAGACTTCTGTAAAATTCTCTGCTCACTGAAATAATTACTGCTCCCAGCTGCTTTTCTCTATTACGTACTAACATATTCCTGTGTTGTAATGGGATTGTTGTATACATTCGCATCTCCCACTTGCTTAGTTAATTTAATGACACATCAGCACCTGGAGATGGACTGTCCAGGGTTTTCGCAGTATGGGTATACGAATTTGTCTATCCTCCCCTTGGCTGAGGGACACCGAGGGTGTCTCATTTGGCAGGCTACGTCATTCTGGATCACTTAAGCAGCAAAGGACATTAGCTAGCTGCTGACATGGACAGGGAGGCTGAAGACCCAGCTTTAGAAGTCAAGCAAAGACAGGCCACAGGGAGTGTGGCCAAGGTTATCACAAGAGCAGCTGGCTGGGAGGTTCTTTGGGAAGCTTCCTCAGGACTCTGGAGTTTGAGATGGGAATTTTCAGAGGGCAGGGGATCCGGGGAGTAGGTCCCAAGGCCACGCCTTCATTGCCACGAAGCAGGGAGAAGGAGGGCATGTCTGGCCCCCTTCACCTTCTGCAGTAGGAGACTCTGCCTTGATCCCATCAAAATTTATATAGTGAGGGAGTCCTCCAGCATAAGAAGGTGATTTGGGGTGCCTGGGTGGCTTAGTCGGTTAAGTGTCCGACTCATGATCTCAGCTCAGGTCTTGATCTCAGGGCCGTGAGTTCAAGCCCTGAGTTGGGCTCCACGCTGGGCATGGAGCCTACTAAGAAAGAAAGAAAGAGAGAAAGAGAGAAAGAAAAAGAAGAAGGTGGTCTGGGTCCTGTGCAAGCAAGGTGCATTGAATGTTCTTACGCACTTCTATGTACATTTACGGTTTCTACAACAGGATAAATTATTTTAAGTAAAAATACTGGTCCAAGAATGAGACCATTTAATGTTTTAATAAATGTTGCCAAGGTTTTTTTAAAGATTTTTAAATTTTTAAGTAATCTCTACACCCAACATGGGGCTCAAACTCACAACCCTGAGATCAAGAGTCACACACTCCACCAACTGACAGAGCCAGCCAGGTGCCCAAATATTGCCAAGTTTTGATCAGGAAGGTGCTAACTAATTTATGCCCCCATCAGTAATGTGTGAATTGCTCTTCCCACCACTGCTTCCCACCAGCATACTTCATCCTCGCGCATGTAATGTAAGCCCGTCAAGGGCACAGAAGCACTAGAAAAGGAAACACTCATGCAAACACCTCCAGACTCTAAAAGGAATGCCGAGGCAAAACCTAAAGTAGGGATCCTTCTACTTCCAGTTATATCTGAATGGGAACATGATGATAAGTAAGATTTGTGGGTAAAGTGGTGAAACTGTAACTCATGGCTTTTATCCCAAGTGTCATTACTCCCATAAATAGGAAGATGAATTTGGCCATTTCTGGTGCATTTCACAAATCCTGTGAGGTATGCCTTGTTAACCTCAATTTAAAGGAAAAGAAATGGATTTGTCCAGCTAGGAATACTAGCGTCTGGATTTCTGTCCAGAGCTCCTGGGTTCAAATTCTGTGGGTTCCCCACACATACACAAGGACATGATTAGATCCATTTCCTTAATTCTGCCTCTTCAGAACTCCCTTGCTTCTTACTCCCCACCCCCCAGCCTACTTTATTTGTTCCAATTAATCTGCCCTTTCGCTCCTTGGTCATTGCATTCAGAGCTACTGAGCTTAACACAAACGGTGAGACCAGTGCATGTACTGATACTGAAAATACGTCATTAGACCAGGCCTGGTATCGGTGTAAAAGTCAGGCTAGCTGGGCCCCTCCCCGTAAGAAGAAGTGACGGTGATTATATCCATGATCACTAACATTTAGTGCAGCCGTCGGCTTCTGTGTCATCTCATTTAACCCTTAAAACAGCCCAGTCAGGTGGGCGTTGTGGACCCTGCTTAGGTCTTTGGGCTGCCTAGGGTTCGGTCCCCTTTCTCGGTGGCAGCATCCCAGTTTCATCTGGGGGCACTCCTTTCCCCCCTTTGGGTACAGTGGCCGAATTGTCAGGGTGCCAGTCCAGCCCTCCTTGGCCAAGAAGTGGGCACATGCGCCAAGCGAGGCCAGCCAGACCGTCTGAAATTGGGAGAGTGAACAGTATTTTCGAGAAGAAACACTGGCATTCACTCATTCCCCAGGAGGACTGCTGAGCGTCCTGTCCCCTGTGATCCTCTAGGGTGTCTGTTTCAGAGCCTCATTCTCTAACCCGAGCTCCTGAGAACCTTTCCGTTCAGTTCCTTTTTTCCGTTAGTTAGCGACACTTGGTGTTTACTGCTACAACTCAGTAGTCCTGACTGATGGACGGGTAGTTATGTCCCGTTTCACAGATGAAGAAACTGATCAAATATCTTGCCCGGCAGGTATGTCAGGAATGGTGCTAAACTGGGTAATCTGAACGAAGGCCCGAGCTCCTGACCCTCAGGCTAGACTTCCTAGTTACCTGGCTAGGAGCTACATTTAGAAATCTGGGGTTACTTGGGTCCCCTCAGTAGGGAAGCTGGTTCGGGGGTCTGTGCACCACATCAAAGCAGCTGAGGCTGCCGCCACATGTACTGGGCCTGGTTCCTATCAGGCACGCTAATGGATCCTTCAGTCTCCTATGTTCACGGCGCATGTTCTACAAGATTCATTACAACCTTAGTAATGCTAACAACGGTGGAGGGTGGGGTACGTGGGGTGTCTGGGATATGGAGACTGCAGGGAGTGAACCCACAGCCACCATCACAGCTAGGACCCCACACCCCAGGCCTCCTCGTGCTCACCCCACCCACAAATCTGCAGGCTTTCTCTCCAGCCCGATGATGCTGACTCACATCATTATTTTTGGCACACACTTCATTTCTGGCTCTCTACTTTCCTCCTTCCAATCCCTTTCATGATTTTCCATAGGCCAAAATAAAAAATCACCCACTGTAGTTCCCTGACTTATTTTTCCTGGAGAAAGCCAAGGCTGAAAGACTTTGGAAGCTTTTCCTACCCTTGGAGACGGATTCTGAGATAAAAATACGGAGCAGGACTGACCAACATTGAGTGTGCACATTTGTATGAACTCCTGGGCATGTCTGTATGCTCCCGAGTTTCCTCCTTTACAACTCTCCTGAGCGTGCAAGGATATTCTAGTTCTCGGCAAGAACACCAGTCCCCCTCCTATGATTCGGGCTTCCCTCTGGCTTCACTGGCTGCAGGAACACATCCGAACTCAAACTGCTCATGAGGGAGGACGGCTTCCAGCAGCTGGCTGGAGCCAGAGCAAGAAAGCAGCTCAGGATGGGAGTTTTCCAGAAAAGATGGGAGCCATGCGAGTCATGGGCCTGGCTGGCTTCTGTGAGTCTTTGGCCCCCCAGTTCCAGTCGGTTTTCTTTCAACAAAGGAGGTTCATGGCTGGGCTTCGGGAAGAACCTTCAGGAAGGTGTCAGAGGGCAATGTGACTTGGAAGGAGCTCTGGCTCATGCTTTCAAGGTATTTGAAATTTTGAATATGGACACGGGAGTCACTGTAATGCCTCCTCTCCTTTTCAGATCTTTAATTGTTCTGCTCCAGATTCGGGGAACATGAAGCTTCTGGTGCAATACGGCCCAGGAGCAAAAGGCCCACTGGCTGATTCTGTTGCCAGAGGGAGAGGCCAGCTCCCATTCGGCTAGGACTCAGCCCCACCCCCACCCGCACCTCACTTGGGACACCACCCACTGGAGCTCCTCCTCTTCAGGCCGGACCCCTGTGGGGCCCCTCCAGGCTCCGTTGGGCAGGGAGCCGGGAGTGAGGGGCCCTGGCCAGCTCTAGGCCGATGTGATCTCACTCAGGTCGCCTCATCAGTTGCCACCAACCTGAGTCTTCCATCTGAGAGAAGAGCTTCTACATTACAGTCACCAGGGGTGGATCTCAGGCATTCGGCCTGACATTCATTTTTCCATGACACTTCCCTGGGTCTGTGTTGATAAGCATGTCTCTCTCTCTGCCCTGCTGTTGCCTGGGAAACAGGATGCAGAGAAGATTCTGTCTCCGTGCTCCCAAGAGAGGCAGCAGAGCCCAGGAGAACCGGAGGTCCCACGTGGGTCACCAGATGCATCACACACGTGACGCGCTGGGAACCTCTCCTTCACTGTCCCACTGTCTTCAGTGGGCCCCGGGCATCCCCGCTGGAGAGGCAGAAGGTCACCTGTCAGTGGCTTCCCCCTCCCGTGAGATCACGTGTGCAACAGCATAAGGGCCCAGTGAGAATCCTGCCCTCTGTCCTACATTCACTCTGCAGGGCCCTCCCTAAGTGCTATGTGGACCTCACCTCCGCAGGAGGTACGGATTATCACACCCATCCAACAGAGCAGGAAACTAGGACCGAGAAGCGACTTGTGAGTCACTTGCCTAAGGTGCTAGCCCCCTGCCCACACATAGGGAACTGAGAATGCAGGGTTGGCCTGATTCTGAAGCCTGTGCCCCTTACGTTGACGGCGCCTGTGGGAAGAGCAGAATGGGCTGCCAGGGTTAATGTAGCGGTTTTCAGCCTCTTGTCTCTACATTATATTTTCAACTCTACGTGGTGCTTTTTTGAAACAACTGTTCTTATGATGTTGGATTCATTCCTCACGGGGACAAAAACCAGCAGCTCTCATTTCTAGTCAGGAGCCCGCGTGCACTCATCTGATTACGTGAGGTCTTAGCTCTAGCTGCCTGCTGGCTGTGGCTTTCCTGGGCCCGAC